CATCGTTAGAGATGAGCGACGGCGGGCCGAAAACGGCGGGCCGGTTGCGACACCGCCCCCTCGCCCCCCACCCGTTCGGCCACGGCCGCCATTGCTATCGGCGCGCTCGAATCTCCCGCCGATAAATCGCTAGAACCACCTGCGCGACGCCGTTTTGGCACTGCGCTCTATAATTCTTTTGTCGGCCGTCCTATTGTTTCCGCGGCGATGACTGGATGTTTCGCTTTAATGGCCAGACAGAGATGAACACGGTAAATGGTGATGTCTTAATGCTATAATGACGCCACGATCGATGTTTTGTCCCGTTATTTACTTGTGCGACGCACACGGGAAACGTTTCCGCGTATTGAGGTCGTTCGAAAAGTGTAACGATCTAGAGATTTGTCGGGGAGCGTGCTAAAATCCAGCTCGGAGGATGTTTTTTTTTTCGTTTCAGCCGTACATTACGTTATAGTTTACATTGTGCATATAGCAGACCTTTAAACTCAACACCTCCCTTTTAAGGTACATTATTTAAAATAAGAGTGATGTGCTCTCATTTGGTTTGAGTTCGTTAATCGTGAGGCCCTTTGTGCTCGCCGCTACAAATGCGCGGATCTCGATCCAGCAGTGACGTTGAAAAATCCCCGACTCGTGATTTTGGCTCGTGTACTTCATTTGTTTGCCGCGGGACAGCTAATATTGTTTACAGGGATTCTGTTTGGGGCTTACCCCATTTCGCACGCTGTTAAATAAAAGACGCGACATCCGTTACATTATCTTGAACGTAATAACTTTGTCAAGTTTAAATGTAAAATAAAAATTGATCGGTTTTAAACAGTTTTGTATTTCGTAACTTTAAGGGAACAAAAATAATATTGGGCTGCAAAAAAATATCTCCTCAGCTATCTCAGGCATTCGTAATTATTTCGAAGTACACTACCGATCAGCCAATAATACGAAGATAGTGCCCTCGGGATGCAAATTTAGAAGAAATCGAGGATGGCGTGTTCGCCCTGCAGCGGTGATTCTTGCATGGTCGCTAGTAATAAATATCATTATGGGTATCATATGGCACGAAGGGATGATTTTCGACAAAATGAGATAAATAGCCCTTTCAGGTCTACCTTCTGATAAAATTAAGACGTAAAGAAGTAATTACACCCATACAGGCTAATACATACGAGTGAGAATCATTTTTATATTTGATTCCCATCAATCTGTTAAACTCACATAAATTACTTTTGGATATTACCCATTAAACCATACCGATAAATATGTTTTGACTTCTATACGTTTTATGATGTGTTCAGAGTGATATTAATTAAACATTGATTAAATAGAGACATTACGATTTTAAGTACTCAATTTTAATCTAAAGCCGTTCCATCGTGTACTGTAAAGTAAAAAAAAAAAGGTTAGTAACAGCCTGCTGATGCAAAGGCCTCCTCTGTATAGTCATAGTCATAGGGCACAGTCGCATGTGTATCTTTGAAATTTTTTTTAAATTATTGTTTCGAAAATATACAGGTTCAACGTTGAGTACTAACAAGTAGTCAGCAAGTAAGATTTGAACTTGAGTATATTGACACTGAGCTATCACGGCTTAGCAAGGTTTAACATTTCTAAAGTACGTTAGGCATTCTTGCGGCATCGCTCGATCACCGCGCGATTCGCGTACCCACCACATTGTTAGGGGTTTCGGTAAACACAGGGTCAACTATATCGGGCTCCGCGCCCGAGGCGATGCAAATTGCGTCGCCTCTTATCGCTGCACTTTATCCGGGGTACTTTTGCGCTCATTTTACATACATTTGCGGGGATGCGGCAGATAGCCGACGTGGGCGGACTCGGCGGCCGAATGCTAATGTACGCTCAGGGCCAAGCACGTAGACCGGCGTCGGGTGTTTTGTAAATTGCAGCCCTATCACGAGATCCCCCGTTAATAATAGTACAAAATGTATAACGAAAGACGATAACTTTATGACGAATTGAGTAAATTACAACATTAATTTTCCGATCTCCGAAACCGCTTGCGAGTTGAGATTCGTCTAAGTTGAACCTTAAAGTCTGACATGACGATTTTGAAAATTTGGGCGGATAATATATTTTAATTAATAATGAACAAGCAGCATTAAAAATAAATATTTTACTATTAACACGCGAGATTAAAAAAACGCACGTGTATTTTGACACCCTAACATAATTGTGAAGGGCCCTGCAGGAATAGCGGATCGTGCACTGAAAAGCTACGGTCACGAACCGCTCTAAACATAGAGTCCAGCCCTAAACGATGGCACCATATCCGTCGGCAGGGTACAACCAATGGTTATTCTCGCACAGACAGGAACAAACAACAGAGTTGCCCGATTCTTAGTACCGATTATTATCAACTGTGAAGCAATTTATTTTTTTTTTTGTTTATATGAAGTTCTTTATTATGTTCCTTTTCTATTTTTTTTTCCATTTAATATTCAAAAATACAACATGGTTACACTTTTAATGTAACTTTGTTTTAGTGTATATATGAAGCGTTCAATTTTTACGTTTACTACCTGACCTGGCAAACGTTGTTTTGCCATATAAATTATTCCCGGTTGGAAATCAATTTCCTTTCCCTACGTATTAAGGCATACACTGAGCGTAATATACCTATTCACACATACGCTTCTAAGCACAAAAACACACACAGCAGTAGAGGGATCGAAATCGCAATACATTCAAAATCTGACACTGTTTTCGGCCTAGCTTTCATTCGCCAAAAGTAACTGAAATTGAAATGGAAATTATTGTTCATGGCATTCCATAGTAATTTTATTTAAGAAAGAGTCGGTCCTTCTTTCATTTATAATATGACTGTGCCCTGCTTTTATCCTTGGCCGCAATATTTCGGAGATTGGCACGCCCGTATACTTCATTACGCCGATAATAATGTGACATTAATAAATTTCCGAGGCAATTTTCTAATATTGAAAAATGATTGATCACTTCATGGAATAAATGAAAGGATACCCCATTGTATTTCGGGGTGCAAGGTGAAATTACATAAAAATGAAATGAGGCAATAAAAGGAGTGACGTCAAAAGTTTTCGAGCTAAATGACTCGAGTGATTGATGTTCGTAAATCTACGTTGCACTGTCCAAAAAGACAAGGACCAGGCTTCGTTTCTGAGTGACTTGGCTACGTGTTGCAAATGCAGAGAATTTTCTAACACGGATTGTTCGCAAAAATTTTAATTTTACAAACACATATTTAATAGTTGCGGCACAATAATTATCGACGTTGAGTATGATCGATGGCCTTCATTTATCGCTATCTACACGTAGATAGGCATGTAAGTAATCTGCGTAAGTTATAGCTTTCATAAATCATTTCGGTTGGTAACTTTGAGTGACCCGGCCTATCGCCAATTGCCGTTTCGACTCAACATTGCTTTAATACTTGCTTTCAGGGGATGGCAATAGGTTCACAGCAGGTTGTTTAATACGTACACAAGTTGTTAAAATGAAAAAAATAAATACTACTGTTATTTTTTTGTTTCGACAAATAATTTTAACCTGCTATTCAGTAACTTAAAAATTTTTATTACTATTATTCTAAAACTTTCTGCATCTTAAGGCTATAATGTAATCTAGATAAATATGTAAGTATATTAGAAATATATATTTCAAAGTAATGTTTGTGGGTTTCGTAAAGAAATCTCTAACACCGCTATTACTTTTTTAATGTTACAATTTATTTGCGCATCAAATTATAAATTACAACTAACGTATTGTGACGATTTAATGACTTAATTAAAGTAACAATTTAAATTAAACTTCTGCCAGTAAGAATAACTGCGCGAGGTAATAAACGGGGCTAAAAACATGCGATATTTTTTACTTTAACGAGTAAAATAACTCTCTTTCCATTTTAATTGAGTGCGTAAAACGTGTATTGCTATTTCGATATCTCGGTTATCAGTAGTTGCACTTCGATATTCGCGATGGGAGATTTGTATTCGATTTTTATGTTCTTAAGTATAAGCACGCCTCTTTCAATGTAATTTTTTCTTGCACGAATATAGTATAATGATTCACCTGTATGGTAAAACATTAAGATGTGATAGAGAAAAAAAGGGTAAATTGTACTCCTTTGATTTTATGAACAACAATGTTTAAGCTATCCGTATTAATCTAGTAGCAAACAATAATCAATTATTGAAACGTGATTTATTGTTTACTCGTCTAAATCGACGTTCTGTCATTTCTCTTCCCTTAATCGATTACTTCAAATATGATCTCTAGGGGGTCCATTGGTACGAGACGAACTATGTGAAAGGATTTTATCAATAAATCTTAAGGTTTTTGAACATTTGTAACGAGGGCCGGTTGGCGCGAAGGCTAGAGAAAACATGTGACTTATTTTATAAAATATATTCTTAAAGTGAACATTGTTAAATAAGAAAACGAAGTAAGTCAAACTCTTCTTTTTTGCCTATATAATGCTAGAAAATATTCGAAATTTCCCTATAAAATAAAATACGTTAAGTTAACATTGATAAAATCCGTAAAAAAATAACTTTATTTAACGACTACAGTTCCTTAAAGTAGACGGAGGGACTACCTGATATATGTTTTATTAAATAACACTATAGATACCAATTTAAAAATATACCTATTATAAATTATACGTGATATGTATCTTCTGTCTATCTGGTATAATTTACTTTTTAAATCAAAGAAATAATTCTTGAATTAATTGCAGTGGTGGCACATAAATGTACCTTCCATTTTTATTGTTGAAGACAGTTCATTTCGAGTTGACTAGTCAGAGAGACTTGTGTACAATAAGTTCGTCTCTTATTTTCGTGAACGTTATGAGAGACAGGAGAAAGAAACGTCCACACCGTCAAACGCGATGGCCACAATCAGCGTTAATTGGCGCTACTCTCACGTGAAATGCACAAGTCGAGTGGTCATTCTACATCGGGACGGCACCCTCGTCTCCGCACAAAGGAAAGATTGAGTCATCATAACAAATGCGCATTTCGTCGAGGGCAGGGAACTCTACAATCGGCCCGTCTTATCTCCGACGGCCGCGATCGATGTGGCCGAATTCCTCTTGCTCCGGAGTGCGGATGACGAAACGGTGTCTTTTACACCGCTGCCCCTTTGTTGACTCGCCCGGACGGCCCCGGCGTCCACCGGCCGCTTATGAAGCCCAACCCTGCCACGAATCTTATCTGACGCATCTCATCGAGGGAGAATCAAGGCGGCGCTCGCGTAAGGCCGGCCACGGCCAGCGAAAGCTCGTTTTAGGATGGAACACTTTTAAAGGACAAAAAGTTAAAACGTTCGATCTTTCAATCTGTCAATAGACTTTTTTTTTAAATAAAATTACACCGTGTTTCATTCTCAACATTAAAAAGATCGTCAACATATTTAATGAAATACCAATATGAAAATAAATGAAATCCGTCGCAACGGACTTACACCGCGGTCGATTCAAAATCCAATCCGTTCTACGCATTTTCGAAGTGGAATCGTTTAAATCACGGCAACGTCGCACAATTATTTTATACGAAGCGCCTGGAGGCTCGTTTAGTCATTCCGTCGGTCAGCGGAGTCACACATTTGTCGAAGGGCGCGTTCCCGGCCTGCATTTTTAGAATTATTAATTTCGTCCGTGTTCTTGCACTGTGTTAAAGCGGCCGATTTTGTGGGCGCGTCATAAATTAAACATTTAACTTTTTTTTTTCGGCTGCCCGTTTGTTGTGGTGCTTACTACATTTTTAATTGCGGAATTACTTATCCGAGGAAAAAATTGCTTGCCCGTTGCATTTTACTGGTGGCGATTTTCGTTTTGCAAAGAAAATATCCTCTACTAAAAACGGCCTAAAAAGCTCAACAAAAGAACTCTAGTTGTGTTTGAAGAATTAAAACTATGAGGAATTTAAACAGTCCTATAAAATAATAATAATATATAATTTGGTAAATATTTTTAGACTTGGAAAGTGGTTAATTATTTTATTCTCTCTAAACCCAATATGATCTTTCAGTGTACGTAATCAGTAGATATGCCATCTTGTAACTACATATATACCTCTAATAATTAATATTACAAATGGGTAAATTATGTCGCACAATAAAATATAAGTAACTAGTATTGAAAGTAGCGGTATTAAGCTATGAAATGCCAAGAAAAGGAAAAAATATTTTCAATAGTTTTTTAGTATAATTGTATCGAGGACAAAAAAACTTTAGGATTTTTTTAGAAATAACATAGCTTCGGTAGGCATAGAGAAAAAAATGTTAGGAATAATGTTAATTTTTATTTATAAGAAAAGAAAATTAATATTTTCATTCTACGAATTAACTTGAATAAAACGTTCAAATACTTTGGGCTATCAGTGCGTTGCAGAAGCGCGCAATCTATAGTAGATCGAGACGGCTCGTTCTTAGATAGTAAATTAATAAGTGCCTTGTAATCATTAAAGCTTATTTCTTTCACAGGTCGAGGTGATAATACTGGATAAGAACGACAGCCCGCCCGAGTTTAAGAATATACCGTCAGCCTATCTCGCGTCGGAGGACCTTGCGCCGGGCCAGAAGATCGCGCACCATAGTAGCCGAAGACCCGGACACTATCGGTAGCATCACGTTCAGCATACAGTCGGAAGAGGCATCACCTTTCACACTGGACGCGAAAAGCGGCGTGCTCACCCTCAAGGAGCCTCTAGACCGGGAGGCGATATCGGAATACCAAGTCGTCTTGCGTGCCGACGACGGTATGCAGTACACGGACGTAACAATCGTTGTCCAGGTACGAATAACACACTTATTCTCCACAGCTTTATCTGCATGCCAAAGTATTTACTCCGCCTAACAGCCGTTGATAACGAATAGTACAATTAATTCGTGGTGCGTTCACTTTATCTTGGTCCGTGAGCGGACTTTAAATATTTTACAATATGCTACCGCGGTCGTTAATGCGGTACCCGGCGGGATCTGGCGCTGCTTCGATGTTTATCGCCACAGATAGAATTCGTTTTTAATTAGACGGTGTCATTTTTTTGGCCCGTAGTAAGGCTATAGAGCTAGACGCATCCAGGAATTGGATGCGAATGTCGAACGAAAGCGGACGCCAAGTTTGAGCTGACTAAATTCATTTCATTTGTAACTGTTTCACGTAGTGTACAAGTACGTGATGTACAAGTACGTACACGTACAACAGCCCGTACAAGTCCCACTGCTGGGCAAAGGTCTCTTCTGTGCAGGTATCAAGGCGTAGTCCACCATGCCGCCCCATTTCAGAATAAGGAAAGACTTCACATATTTGGACATGAATTGACAATTTCATTGGTGCCGGCACCGGGATTCGAATTCAGGTCGCTCGAGTATACTGAATTAAAAGCGAGCGCCCGGACAATGAGCTATCACAGCTCTTCTTTCTTCCTCTCCTTGAATTGATACATATAAATAAAATTTCAGGTGACCGACACGAATGACAACCCGCCAGCGTTTAAAGAAAGCGCTTATTCATTCGATATACCCGAAAACGCTGCGAGGGGTTCCGTGGTCGGTACGGTCGCCGCGACCGATTTGGATTCAGGACCAAACGCCCAATTAACCTACACTGTGGTCTCAGATTGGGCTAACGACGTGTTCTCACTGAACCCGCAGACTGGCGTCTTCACTTTGACCGCCCGCCTCGACTACGAAGAGGTAAGATCTTTGCGCAGACCACGTTAGTCTTGTAATAATAGTAATAAAGTAATAGTTGTGTTTGACTCTTCCATTTTTTCATGGTATGCATTCAACTTATATGTATATGTACGCGGGTATTAATAATTTTATCAATTTTGATTCAGGCTCATGTGACTACTGCAAAAAAGCATTTTATTAATGCGGCTCATATTTATTTATTACCTAGACCTTGGCATATTGGATCGAGGCGTTGAACGCCATATATATGTAGCACGGTGAATTTACAAATAAAATATTTATGGGGCCAGACTAACACATCAATTCCTATGTAAACTAGGTTTACTTATTCTGTTGTAGTAACCAACGGTTTGCTAAAGCGCAGTGTTTACAGATTTTGATTATATGGATTTAACTGTGTAATTTGATTTAACATAAGAGTAAGGCATATAATCACTATGAGCCGTAGCAACCATTTAAAAAATTTAATTTTACATTGTTAATTAGGATAAGATTTTCTGTTTTTATTCTTTTAAATTTGACGGTATAACTTCGAGGAGAGAATTCTGTACAAAGGCTACATTTATTGAAGACGAAACTTAAATGTACATTTTTTGTAGATTAGAAGTTATCAAATATCTTCGGCGCTGCAGAATTTAAACCTGGGTATTCCGGGTAACGCTTACGGAGACTCTAACCACCGAGGCTCGACCGATATCCTCAATTTGCTAAAATCTCAACATGTTTCTAATTTGTTTCTACTATTTTTAGTAATGCTTGACTTCTTTATATTCACACTATACTGTGGGTTTTCTGTTTATGATTAACGCTAAGACATAAATTCAATATCATCCCCCCATTTAGATGTCCGCTGAGTGTGTAATGAATAGAGCGAAGCGGTAGGTTTTACTTTCAGACAGCTTTCGTCCACTTCTTGTTTCCACCGTGTGCTTGTATACGTTGAAGTTGATACAATTATCTTAACATAGATCTAGACAGAGGCCGTTGACCGCAGGGCTGTTCAAACGAGGCGTTATTCATTTTGGAATTCCCTTTTAATATAAACTATTTCCAAATTTAAACCAGCCAGATGTTTAGTAGAATTCAATTTGCAACGACGCAACGATAACTGATTTAATATTATTATTTTGGAAAAGCGCCAATTATTATATTTAGAGATAATTTACCGATGAATATATTTCAAGTGGTATTATATAAAATTTTATTTCGCAAATAATCTGTAAGGACGCACACCATAATTTACATGAGTAAGATAATGTTGATTCGGGAGAAATAGCCAAGGACGGGATCGCAATTACCGTACTTTTAAAATATGATTCGAGTCACTTACCAGAATGCCTTTCGGGCGTAAAATAAGATGAGAATAAGTTGAAATTTATTACCGACCGCGCAAAATATCGCATGTTGTAGGTAAGATGCGCAATTCTGAAACGAAGGACGACGCTGCCCCTAAGCGGGTTTTTAAATGCGAGCTTATGCGGGATGAACCGACGGCGATACGCTTCCAATGTCTATACTCATTGAAGGTCCCCCTTTCTTAGCGGAGTGAAGAGTTTCTGTGAACCTCAAAAGACAGGCAAATAAAACGAGTTTCTATTTACCGCGTCTATCGTTTTCATTAGAGATAATCGGATCGTTTTTTACTTGCTTTTATTCAACATCCCACGGCTTATTATACTAGAAATATGCCTCTTTATTCATATTTTTATTATTTAAATAATGTTCATTGCCCGAATGATTCATAAAATGTGCTCTTTCATATATAAATATGAAATTTATATTATTTAAATAATGTTTGTCTCTCCTACACTTTATATTTGAATAATGTAAATGTTCTTTAATATAATTTAAAAATGCTTTTGCCTATGCTTTTATGGTTTATTGATTTTTATTATTAATCAAAAAATTAACGCAGACAGCACTGAGCTAATAAAATATTTTTTCAATAACGTTTCGAGTAAACATATGCAAATAATGAAATTTTGTCAAGCTTTAGGTACAATAAATATTTAAATTAAAGCAAGCATTTTGTTGATTGTTTCATAGTCCTATAGCTATTTCGAACTGCAAAAAGTGTTTTACGAGGCTTTCGCCTTTTCGCCGCCGATGGACATTATTTAAGTTTCACATGCGTCTTAAAGCTTGGCTAACGAGTTATGGCAGTGCCTTGTACCGTAACCAGCTTATTGTAATACTCATCAATACGTCTATAAAATAACAACAAGTCGTTAAATTCCCCATAGGCATGAACCATCGTGCAATTTATGTTATATATGCATTAAGAATATATTGGTTTTGCTTGCTTTAACTTATCATTACATTGTTATTGGCGATTGATCGATCCAAGATGCCCTTTAAGGCGTGCCGGATGCGTTCGAATCTTCAGATAACGCTCAGTGACACGTGTAAACATTTTAGTTGTGTGCCTACACGCGTGCAAACGGCCTGTATCCGACCCGCCTCATCAAGTCAGCCGACTCCGTTAATTAGTAAAAACAATTTGGCGTGCACTCGCCGTCTCGACCGCCCGCCAATTCCGCGTACCCCGCTAGAGAGCTGCTAATTTCGTGCCGGCACAGTTTTTTAGCGTCGCGCATCATATTCGGCATTTGACCACTCGATCCGCCATCGAAATTAAGGCCCGAACAATGTCGGACAAAGCGGCCGTCCACAAAACATCCGGGGGCCGGATTCCCGTGCTGCGGTACGCTTTTTTCTCCCAGCCGCCATCCCGCTCCACGGTCCGCGAATGAAGGAGCTTGTCATAGCTGGGAGGTTTTGGTGACCTATTATATGGAAAATCTGAATGCCGCGCGGAATTTCTCGAATGATTTGGTACGATTAAATTCTTGTTAGGTACATTTTCTTTAAATAAAACGACAGATGATTTTGATCGTTCCCCATCACGTATGTGCTTAGATGTTTAAATATAATTCTTACACCAGGTGATGTATTTCAACCTGATGAGCTAGACAATAGAGAATAAAGGACGTTGATAAGTTCCAAAATGTGATAATGAATTACACAAGCAAATAATCCTATAAAATGTTTTTAATAACAAAAGACATTATCTACATCGCGAATATTCGGGAATGATATTCTAAACATACAATATTATTAAAATATTTTAAGAGAATATTCTTTTATATAATACCAGCTGAACACGGTCATGCTTTGTTGTGCCTTTTATTTTATAAAAATTACATAAAAACACCCTTCTGTATAATAGCGATGTTCTGAACGTCAATCTAAAGGCTGCATTTTGAGTTTTTTAGACACAAACAATCGAAACCTAAATTTTTTTATGTAAACATTATCATTAATTTTCAGACACAGCACTACATTCTAGTGGCCCAAGCTCAGGACAGTGGTCACCCATCTCTTTCTGGAACAGTGACCGTTTATATCAATGTGGTAGATCTAAACGACAACGCGCCCATATTTGATCCGATGAGCTTTTCCAACGAAATACTGGAAGATGTCCCAATAGACACTTCAGTTGTGACGATAAGCGCAACAGATATGGATTCAGGTAACTCTATAAACATTTCATTCTGATCTTCATTATTATAATTAACATAATGTTATTCAATCGTTTTACCTGTTTTATTGCATCATGGGATAGAATGTTGTAAGTAAAGTTTGTTATTAAAACTGCTAAATGAATTTGATGTAATAGTTGAAGTTTATTAAAAATTTTTTAAGTTAAGTTGTTATTTTTAAGCATCATGATGCATTTTTATTGTTATATTCCAGGATTTAATGGAAAAATTGTATATAGCATTACGTCCGGTGACGATGGTCAAGATTTTAAGATTACTCCCAATGGTACGATTCGCACTGGCAAACTATTGGATAGAGAAAAAACACCTATTTATAATTTAATAGTTGCGGCAAAAGATTTAGCGAAACCCCCCGAGCCGCGGTTATCTTCCACGGTGCAGGTAAATATTTGAAAGACAGGGCTTTCGAGGAATCTAACTTGTATTCTATATTTACTTTTACAAGTTAGTGTTACATTTCATGCAACCCTACTAAAATCGTTATTATTCTTACTAAGAATTCTTATCTTTTCTTTTCTGAACGCTATAGTTTAGAAAATTCAAGATATAATTTGTTATATTAACATATCCATTCGTATTTTGTCGTATAGTTTGTAAGCATAGTTTTGATTGAGATTGTTTTGGTAGAAAATGTAATTAATATACATTAAAACGTTTTATTTAAACAGGTTGTCTCTTATGTATAAACATAATGCCCCTTTACTAATTTTCCCACTAAGTTAATCTCAAATACGTTTAAAAAAATATGTTTACGGGTATTGGTTAAATAATTAACATTATATATCAGTTATTTTTCAAATGTTACCACGTATTTTACATTAAGTTTATATAAGTATAGTTTTAGCTTTAAATTTTACATTAAGTTTCTATAAGGGTAGTCTGGACATTAGATGAAACATTTAAATTTTTAGAAAAAATGAACGAAACGTTTTTCACCGCCGCCGGAATCAAACCTACGTCTTCCGTAATCGCGCCCAGACTCTTTGACGGCTAAGCTAAACGGCTGATTGCTGCGACACTTTTATACGGATACGAGAGAATGTTATTGATGTTATTTTCAATATATTTCTAATTTAATGTTTTCTTCTTGAAGGTAACTATACAGCTAAAAGATGTCAACGACATGGCTCCCGAATTCGTCAGTCCTAACATGACAACTGTCTCCGAAAACATTCCCCTAAACACAGTGATAATGACGATTAAAGCAGTTGATAAGGACGAAGGTAGGAATGGTTACGTCGAGTACTTTATGGAACCAGACCCAGAAATCAATGGCTATTTCTCCCTTGGAAATGTCGATGGCATTTTACGTGCTAGTGGAAAACTTGATAGGGAGCTTAAATCTAGCTATATTATATTGGTAACAGCTAAAGACAGAGGAGACCCACCTAATGTAACTAAGAGTAAGATCACCATTCAAATATTGGATGAAAATGATAATAGCCCAGTATTTGATCCGAAACAGTACAGTGCATCAGTCCCAGAAAATGCTAGCATTGGAGCAAGTGTTTTACAAGTAAGCATACGTTTTCCAAATTCTGATTAGAAGTATTTAGTAAAAATATCTAGCTAATACCTACATTACATGTAAACTTACAGGTTTCGGCAACCGATGTTGACGATGGATTAAATGGAAGAGTGAGATATTCAATTGCATCTGGTGATGAAAATCGAGATTTTAGTATCAGTGAAGACAGCGGTATTGTAAGAGTAGCAAAAAATCTAAATTATGAAAGAAAATCTCGTTATTTACTCACAATAAGAACTGAAGACTGCGCTAAAGATGATGTTAGATTTGACACAGCCGAGTTATCTATTTCTATACAGGATATTAACGATAACCCCCCTACATTCTTAGATTCACCATATTTGGCATATGTAATGGAAAATATCATACCTCCAAATGGAGGGTATATAATCACAGTTCGTGCTTATGATGCAGACTCACCTCCTTTCAATAATCAAGTAAGGTATTTCATAAAAGAAGGCGATGCTGATTTATTTAAAATAAATGCCTCTTCAGGACAAATTTCCTTACAAAGGACGTTGGACCGTGAAAGTCAAGAAGAATATACACTCTCTCTTGTAGCTATGGATACAGGTATCATGAGATTTTAGAAAATATTTCATTGAGCAATATCAATTATGGTTTATATATATATGATTTCATTTTTACATAAATATGGCTTAAATACATACGATTAATACATTTTTCTTGATAGGATTTTAAATAAATTTATTTATATTTACAGGTTCTCCACCACTTACTGGTTCTGGTACAGTGAAAATAATTGTTCAAGATGTGAACGACAATAGTCCGGATTTTGAAAGACAAAGTTATAAGACCACTGTTAAAGAAAATTTGCCAGCAGGCACTATAATTTTGCAGCCAAAAGCTGTAGACATTGACATAGGAAATAATGCTAAAATTCGATATAGTTTACTGGGAGAGAAATCTGAGAGATTTGTGATTGATTCGGCTACCGGAGTTATTTCAACAAATGTAACTTTAGACAGAGAAGATTGGGACATTTATTATTTGATAATAATGGCACAAGATTCATCCACTACCGACCCTCGTACAGCTACCGCTAATGTTACAGTTATAGTTGATGACGAAAACGATAACACACCAGTATTTCCCCAGTCGGTATATGAAACTTACATATCAGATCGCACAGTTCCAGGAGATTTTATATTTGGTATCAAGGCTACAGACAATGATGTTGGACTCAATAAAAAGATTGTATATGACCTAAAAGGAGAACATCAAAATTTTTTCAGTATTAATAAAGAGACTGGTGTAATAAAAGCTAAAGAGAGTATTACCAAATTTAAAGATGCCAATAAAGCTTCATTTAATTTAATAATAGTCGCAGCTGATTGTGGTGTTAATTCAAGACAAAGTACAGCTGATTTAATTCTAATACCTAAATCTGTTAAAAACTTCCCAAAGTTTACTGTTACCAATAAACTTACGTTCACATTTTCTGAAGATACCCCAGAAGGAGTTTTAGTGACTAGATTATCCGCTACATCTCCTAAGAAAGGTCCTCCTAGTTTATTACAATATTCTGTTGCTGGAGGTAATGTCGGAGATGCTTTGAGAGTGGAACCAATTAGTGGAGAAGTGTTTATAACAGGTAAAGGACTTGACTACGAAACTATGCCCCTGTATGAAGTATGGTTCGAAGTAAAAGATTCGGATAATCCACCACTTAAATCATTTATAGAAATAGAAATTAAAGTAACAGACGCGAATGATAATCCACCTATTATAGAAAATGTATTATATAATGCTACAGTACCAGAGGAGGAATCTCCGCCACAACTCGTGATAAAAATTGAAGCCCACGATGACGATTCAAATGAAAATGGGAGAATATCATACAAACTTGTTAATGATTACGAAGAAACCTTTAAAATTGATGCAGATACTGGTGAAATATTTACAAATATAGCATTGGACAGGGAATCTATACCATTTTACGAAATTTTAGTGGAAGCAAATGATCATGGAAATCCTCAATTAATTGGAACATCAACAGTACTAGTAACAGTTATGGACAAAAATGATAACCCTCCAAGGTTCACGCGTTTATTCAGTGTAAACGTCACCGAAAACGCTGAAGTTGGATCATTCGTTATAAGAGTAACAAGTTCAGATCTTGATACAGGGTCGAATGCAAATGCAACCTATAGCTTTGTTGAGAATCCGGGTGAGAAATTTCTAATAGATCCTATTAGTGGAAACGTTACTGTTGCAAGACCCTTGGATAGAGAATTACAAGATGAATATATTCTTAAAGTAGCTGCAATTGATGGAGCGTGGAGATCAGAAACGCCACTAACTATTACAATACAAGATCAAAATGACAATGCTCCAGAATTTGAATATTCATTTTACAGCTTTAATTTTCCTGAATTGCAGAAGAAGAACAGTTTTGTGGGCCAAGTTATAGCAACTGATAAAGATAAACAAGGTCCTAATTCCATCATCTCGTATTCATTACAACAAACTTCCGACTTATTTACGATAGATCCTGCTACAGGCGAAATTTTAAGTAAGTTTATGATGAACTATAAAAGGACATTGGTTAATATGTCACCAGAAAATACTTACTCTGTTATTGTTGTTGCAACTGATAACGGTAAACCTCCTATGTCTTCTGAATGTTTGGTAACGATAAATGTCGTAGATGCCAATAACAACGAGCCTAAATTTAAAGAGCATGAAAAATTTGTACCTGTGCCACAAGATGCCGTCTTAGGAGAAAAAATTATTCAGTTAACAGCAGCAGATGACATGGACTTTGGAATAAATGCTGAAATAGAATATTATGTATCAGGTGGAAATGGTTCTTCTTTCTTCATGATAGATAAAACCGATGGTTGGGTTTTTGTAAACAAGCAATTCTATTTCATTGGGCAATATTATGAGCTAAAAATAAAAGCTGTTGATTGCGGAATTCCACCACAATCAGATGAGACTATAATAACATTCGTTGTAACAGGAGAAAATATTTATAGTCCTAAATTCACGGCTCTTAGTTATCAAGTTATCGTCCCTGAAAATGAACCGATAGGATCTTCAATACTTACGTTGAAGGCAAATGACGAAGACGACGGACCAAATGGTATAATAAGATATGCCATTTCATCTGGAAACGTAGGGAAAGAGTTTCAAGTTGATCCAGTTTTGGGCACAATAAGTATTCTCCGGCCTCTTGACTATGATACTGTTCAAGAATATCGTCTCAACATAACCGCTTCAGATCTTGGTTTTAAGCCCAAAGAAACAACAGCAACAGTAACGATAATTTTGACAGATATAAATGATAATGCTCCACAATTTAATCAATCTCATTATGTGGCCTATTTACCAGAAAACTCACCTGTGAACAGTTTTATTTTTAAAGTGCAAGCAGTTGATATTGATTCGCCTAAAAATTCAATCATAAAATATCATATAAAAAACCAAATGTCTTCTTTATTTTACATAGGTGTCAACACGGGTGAAATATTTTCTAAAGAAGTATTTGATTACGAAGAGAAGACATCATACAAATTGGAAGTAATTGCTGAAAATCCTGATTCCATAATGAACACCATGACCGAAGTAGTTGTTCATATAACCGGTGTTAATGAATTTTATCCCAAATTTGTGCAACCAGTTTTTCATTTTGATGTCTCGGAATCAGCAGAAGTTGGTACAAATGTTGGCATTATTCAAGCCACTGACCAAGATAGTGGTGATGATGGCATTATTTATTACCTATTCGTTGGCTCAAGCAATGATAAAGGCTTTAATATTAACTCGCAAACTGGAGTTATTAGGGTAGCTAGATACTTAGACAGAGAAACACAAAACAGAGTTGTTTTAACTGTGTTAGCCAAAAATTATGGAGGAATTCATGGTAACGATACGGATGAAGCCCAAGTAATAATATCAATACAAGACGGCAATGACCCACCCGAATTCTTAAGAAACTTTTATGAGGCAACAATTTCTGAATCTGCAAGTATTGGTCAAAAAGTACTACAAGTTAAAGCAGTAGATAAAGATGTACGTCCACAAAATAATCAATTTAGCTACTCTCTTATGGATGGTAATCTTAATCAAGATTTTCGAATTGATCCTCAAAGTGGGGAAATTGAAGTGTCCCGTCAACTTGATCGTGAATCGATTCCAACATATTCACTTATAGTTGGTGCAATTGATACTGGTATACCGCCACAAACTGGTACTACTACTGTTAAAATAACACTTACAGATATAAATGACAATGGACCATTATTTGATGTAGCAAATTTCAATGGAGCCGTTTACGAAAATGAGCCACCCAATACCAGTATAACTACACTTTCTGCGAAGGACCCAGACTTGCCTCCAAATGGGGCGCCCTTCTCATATTCGATAATTGGAGGTAAACATCAAAGCTATGTTAAAGTTCACAAACATACGGGTGTATTATTGACGACTAAAAAAGTTGACAGAGAATTAACACCTCAGTTGGAAATAATTATTCAAATTGAAGACAGCGGTACACCAGTGATGAAGTCAAGTTATACGATTTTTATTAAAGTATTAGATAGAAATGATAATCCACCAACACCGAGATCTGCTCATATTCTCGTTTATGCATTTAATAATAAGGTTCCAACAAGTAAAATTGCTGATGTAAAACCAAACGACCCAGACATTGTTGGAGATTATAAATGCAAAATTATGAAGGATTCAACAACTGAAAATACTCTCGCCTTATTTAGCATAAGAAAAGGTTGTGATCTATTTACGAACGCTGTACGACCAGGGCAAGGATATTCATTTTCTGTATCAGGTAATGATGGCATCCACAAGGACGTCACCTCATCCATAAGCGTTGAGTACTTTTCCTTTGACAATACTACAGTTGAACAATCAATAACCATGCGTATATTAAACATGACTGCAGGAGATTTTCTTACCCACTATTATCGTAATTTACTTGAAATACTAAAAGGTGGACTTAAAAAGGAAGAAAACGCTTACTTATATAGCATAAACGAAGAAAAGAATGCACTTGATTTAACTGTAGCGATTAAAAGCAACAATGCAATTTGGAAAAGAGAAAACACTGAAAATTACGCCAAAACAAAAGAACTGGAAATAAATAAAGTCCTGAAGACTTCGGTTATTACATCGTATTATCCATGCGCTACACAACATTGTCTTAATGATGGTATTTGTACGGACGCAATTAATGTGCTTGATGATATAACAATTGTAGAAAGCCCCACTCTTGTACTTTCTTCTCCTCTAGTCCGCCATGATTATACTTGTCATTGTACAGATAGATTTATAGGAAATAACTGCGAAAAAAGACAAGATCCTTGTTCACCAAACCCTTGTAACTTTGGTGGTCTATGTAGAAAGCAAGGTCATGATTTCGTCTGTTCGTGTCCAGCACGACGTGAAGGAAAGACATGCCAGTTCGAAAGGGATGATGTTTGTAGTAGCAACCCCTGTAAAAATGGAGGATCTTGCAAAGAAAGTTCAGATAGAAATTCGTTCTTCTGCTTATGTCGACCTGGTTATCGGGGAAATCAATGCGAAGCCTTAGTCGATTCATGTAGACCTAATCCTTGCATGCATGGAGGTATATGTATCGGTTTAAAACCAGGATATAAATGCAGTTGTACAAACGGACGTTATGGAACACATTGTGAAAGTTCTACATTTGGGTTTAATGAACTGTCATATATGCAATTCCCGGCTCTAGACGCATCAACTAATGACATAACTATAATATTTGCAACAACAAAACCCGATGCCTTATTATTATACAATTATGGCGCTCAAACAGGTGGCAGATCAGATTTCATAGCGATTGAACTTTTGGGAGGAAAGCCTATATTTTCTTTTGGTGGTGCAAGAACGTCTATAACCTCTGTCTCTATTATGGACTCTGATTTAAATACAGCAGATGGCAAATGGTATAAATTAACGGCAACCAGAAACGGTCGCGTGATTTCTTTGAGTGTCACTTCCTGCACTGATCACGGTGATATATGTTCGGAATGTGAACCGGGCGATAGTTCATGTTATGATGACGATACTGGACAAGCAGGGTAGGTATATCAAATACTAATTGTTGTTGTTTTTTTTTCTATTTTACCGTTTTCCATTTAAATTACCATTAAAAGTACTTCATCGACAGACTTTCGGCTAACATTATTTGAAGATGATTTTTATGGTACATATTAATACATATTAACAATATTTTTCAGGACACTGAACTTCAATAACGAGCCATTGCTTATCGGAGGTTTACATAAAGCTGATCCAGTCTTAGAACGTCCTGGACAAATTCACTCAGACGATTTTATTGGATGCATGCATAGTATAACGATTAATGGCCGTTTGCTTAATTTAACAAATCCACTCAAAGCACGCGGAGTTGAAGCTAATTGTGACCGCACAGAGAAAGGAGCATGCTACAAAAAAGAAATTTGTGGTTCTGGAAAATGTCTTGATAGGTGGAAAAGCAATAACTGTAAATGTGAGAAAAATATTATTTCACCCAACTGTAACACTGCTCTTCAACCTATATCCGTTAGTGAAAATGGGTATATTGCTTACGTTATATCTGAAAAGCATAGAAGAATGCAGTTACTTGAATCATTTTATGGAGGTAGTACGAGTTGGGAAAGAAAAAGTGTAAAAAGTTTTAGTAAAGCTATTATAAAAGTAAATAATCCAGCTAAAATCTTAACGTTCTTTTTTAAAACTAATCGAAAGGATGGAGTTCTATTTTATTCGGCAACAGATAAGTATTATACTATAATCGAATTGTATGGTGGAAAAGTTTGTTATACCTCGAAGCAAAACACTGTGGTTAATATGACACAAGCCGAGCAACACGATGTTGCTGATGGACTTTGGCATAATGTTACGCTTTTATCTCATGGAAGGAGCATACGACTGATAGTAGATAATTCTAATGTAGGCGAAGAACTTGATTCCGCTGGAGTACATGACTTTTTGGACCCTTATTTGACTGTTATTTCTTTAGGGGGAATTAAATCAGAATGGATATCAACAAATAATAAATTTGAAGGATGTTTAGCTAATTTCACAATTAATTATGAACTACAGCCCTTTACGGGCAATGGATCAATTTTTAAAGAAGTGATTCGAAAAGGAAAGATATTACCGGGTTGCCATAGTACATTTGGTGCAGGAGTGGCGCAAAATCCAAACCCATTGAATATTGGCATAACACTTGTTATAGTATTTTTCATTATATTAATTGTTGCAATTTCTATATCATTTATAGTATATCGACTTCGCAAGCAAAAGAAAGAAAAGGGTAACAATTCTGTAAACAAAACTAATATAGGGCATACAAAACAAAACGGTGGCCCAGCTATGCTTAATGCTCCCAACTTAATTGCCGGAACAAATGACAGTATTATGAATCGTAATATGCATAGCAACGAAACGAGTCTAAATAGTTATATGTCTGAAAATGCTGATATAATGAGGAATGTTGGTCATATTGTAGGTCCTGAACTATTATCTAAAAAATATAAAGACCGTGAAATAATGAATATAGATCCGCCACGACCACAACGACCTGATATAATAGAGAGAGAAGTTGTTGGAAAGAGCCCTGCTTTAAGAGAGGATCATCATCCTCCTCCCCCACCTTCAACCAACAATTCACATCACACTCACGATCATCCTAGTGGCATGGATCTAAATTCAGATATACCTGAACACTATGATCTCGAAAATGCAAGTTCTATAGCGCCTTCAGACATAGATATTGTATATCACTATAAAGGTTTCAGAGAGGCTCCTGGTGTTCGCAAATACAAAGCTACGCCACCACCTATTGCTGGGTATCATCATAAACATCAAACGCCTCAACATCGGCATTCACCACACCATCCCAGCGGCTATCCACCAAGAGTTTTACCTCAAGCTTCTCAACCACCTCCACAACCAAGGCAGCATCAAACTACGCCATTAGCTCGCCTATCACCCAGTAGTGAACTAAGTCAGCAACCAAGAATTTTAACATTGCATGATATATCGGGAAAACCACTACAAAGCGCTTTATTGGCAACAACTTCCAGTTCAGGAGGTGTAGGAAAAGATGCATTACATAGCAACAGCGAACGCAGTTTAAATAGTCCCGTTATGTCCCAGTTAAGTGGACAAAGTTCTTCAGCTGGCAGAAAAACACCCAGCGCAGCACCGCAAGTTCCTCAAGTTGTTTCTGTAGGATCTGGTGCTGTAGGCTTAACTGCAGAAGAAATCGAAAGAATGAACGCTAGACAAAGAACATCCAGTTTAGTATCGACTTTAGATGCTGTGTCAAGTTCCAGTGAAGCTCCACGAGGGGGAGGAGTTAGTCACCACATGTCACACAGACATCATTCACCACCAGTTGACAATAGAAGTTCGACGGGATCAGATGATGAAAGTGGTAACGATAGCTTTACGTGCTCGGAGATCGAGTATGATAATAATAGCATAAGTGCTGATAAATCTGAAGATGTGAGACGGCAGAATGTTAGTAGTGGAAACAATAATAAGAAGCCAATCTTGCCGCCGCCCTATGAAAGTTTTGATTCGTCCTTTCGAGGTTCGTTGAGCACTTTAGTTGCATCTGATGATGATTTATCCCCTCATGTGGGCGCAGCTCTTTATAGGCAAGCAAATGGATCTCCTGCGCCAGCGACTCTAGGATGGGATTATTTTTTAAACTGGGGTCCAAATTTTGAAAGTATGATTGGAGTGTTCAAAGATATAGCCGAATTACCAGATGCAGTAAATGGTCGAATGTCTTCCTCTTTAAGGCTACCGAATGGTACTCCGAAACCATCGGAAGAATATGTTTAACTGATATTAAGCATTCTGTAAATAAATTAAAAATATATAGATATGTAAATTTTTTTAAGACCTTGTATCAAGGTCTTCGTAGATTCAATTTTCTTGCCATATTTTGCTATTTTATATTATTTTGCGAGAATTTAGTATGTACTTATTTGAACTGTAAATGTAAATATATTTCTAATTGAGCTGTAGATATTTGTCTAAGGTTTTAGATGTGGTAATTGTTATCATTACCATTGCGCATTTAGAAAACAAAATGTACAAATTTATATCAATTTAATCTTTAAATTGCGAGGACGTTATTTATGTACAAAAAGTGTCATGAGATTAAGAGTCAATATAAAAAATGTCACATACCTTCAAAAACTTTAAATCGTTTTTTATTTGATCAGCAATTCGGTGTCGAAAATGGATCCCGCTATTTTATAAAATTGTAATTTGTGACATTAAATAATTTTATTTGTTATTTTATAAGACCTTTTAGACTTTGATAAAAAAAATCTGTAAAATTCCGTTTGTTTATAGTGTTGTAATAAGCCATATTAAGTAGTGAACAAAGTGCCAAATGCGTATTCTGTTCAAAAGAACTGACTGATTTTACATTATGCGAAAATTAAAATAAAATAACAAAATGTGTTTCTTTTATTTCCTATATCTACATGAAATAATACGAAGCGATATAGAACCTGCACTAAACTTGTCTTGAATTATTTCTACTATCATAAAGAAATTGCCTGAAAAGACTTATCATGTGCTCCGCGGTGAAGGAAAACATCGTGAGGAAATCCGCATATTTTCGAAATAATAATAAAAAAAAATATTTCGAAGATATATGAACTCTGCCAATCCGCAGTGGGGCCGCGTGGTGGACTACGCCCTGATACCCTCTATATAGAGGAGGCCTTTGCCCAGCTGTGGGACATTTATAGGCTGTTACGTTACTTTACTTTTACTTTAAAGAAATTGCAATTTTTTTATGGAAAAAGGGATAAGAGGCATACCTGATGGAAAGTGATCACTGCCGCCCATGAAAATCTGCAAAGGCTTGCAAACGGAATTTCAGGAAAGAATATGCTCTCTTTTTGAAGATTTCCAGGTCGTATCGGTAAAATAGTAATAACCTTATTAATGCCGTTTTTATCGATAATGATACGGTACCCTTTGTGCGCGAGCCTGACTCGCAGTTGGCCGGTTTTTTATTTGAAAGTAAAACATGACTACTAAATAGCGCAGTAGTTTAACCAAAAAGTTATTACTAAATTACGTTTTTGGTTGGCGCATATGCTATGTTAGTAAGCATATTTACATCACATCTTATATTTACATCACAATCATAATCCTCCAGTCCTTATCCCATCTAGGTGGAGTCGGCACAATGCGAGTCATGTTGTAGTAATATAATCGGATTGGCTATGTTTTTTGCGACCAGCCGCCTGTGGCCACCTGCCTTAGGAAACACACCCAGATCTGGAACAATTATTGGTGGGTCATACAAATATTTGACCCTTGTGGAAATCGAAGTCACGACCCCCGACGCCGAAGCCAATAGCTTAGTAGCGGCGCCATCTTGGAACTCGTATTTTTATGATAAAAAAAATTATGTAATTTACGCCTCAAAAACACAAGCTAGAATGACAAAATGTTCCTACATTATTTTTATTTATTTATTTATTTTTAAACTTCATGCACAAAACAGTACATAGGCGGACTTAATGCCGACAGCATTTTCTACCAGTCAACCTTAGGGTGGTACTGAGAAGTTGAGGTAGGTGCACAAACACAGTTATAAACTAAAAAGAAAAAAATACATAATTATTAAATATAAAAATATAACACATAATATAATTCTAGCATACAATACTTTTAAACGATACAATAAGTATTACCTTACATATACATATATACTTTAATATACAAATATAAATAAACATATATACTATATACATATACATATACATATACATTTATATCTGATGATGTCATGAAACTGCTGGCAATTTCCCCTGAATGTACTTTCGTGCCATTTTCTTAAAAGCAAAGCGATTCTTGGCCATTCTAATTTTGAGAGGGAGCTCATTGGAGAAAAAGACAAAGAGGAATGGATAAAATCAGATCGATGAGGAGGACATAACAGAAGACGATAGTGTTTAAAACGAAGATTCTTCGTGTTGACTGTGCTAAGGTATTGGTAAGTGAGGAGATAAATATGAAGGAGTGAATGGGGAATTAAGGTAAGAAAAAAGTGTGGTCAGGGCTCTTAGGGAGCGTCGTTGTCGAATGGTTAGCCAATTTAATTGTGACCGATACGACGATACATGGTCATATTTGCGGAGATTGAAGATGAATCGAATGCAGTTATTCAGAAGTCGGTCTAATTTGTTGAGGTGATCTGCATTCAGGTCAAAGTAGCACACGTCACCATAGTCGATTAAAGGAAAAATTAAGGCCTGTACGAGCGTTACTTTAGTTTTTATCGGCAGGAAATTTTTAGGTCTGTAAAGACAGCGCAAGACACTAATTACTCTTTGGCTGACAAAAAAAAACGTCCCGTCAATGAGCAAACCTAAATTTTTTACCTTATTTTGCAGGGGAATGGGGGAGCTGTCAAAAACAATTGTTGGAAGGTTAACTAGATTTACTCTACTAAGAGTGCGGGAACTCCCAACTACCATGGCTTGACATTTGGACGGATTTACGGTTAATCCAAAGTTATCTGACCAGGTCTTAATGGTGACTAAATCTTCATTTACCTTAAGAATGGCCTCATCAAGAGTGTCGATGGATGCCTGAGCATATAGCTGCAAGTCATCGGCATAAAGATGATACGCACAGCGAAGATTACATAAGTTTTCATTAATATGACACTAAACACCCTGTTTACGTTTCGTACGACTAAGACCTCTACATATTTTTCTTCCACACTAATTAATTGATTTATTATTTTATTTCAAAATTAATTTATGCTAGTTAAAAAATATTTATTAATAGTAATTAGTAATTTTTATTTTCAGAACCCATTTTAGCTGTAAATTAAAAAAAATGTTTTTGAACACAAGGCATCGATAAGAAACAAAATGCATATGCAGTAATAATGAAAAGTAATTAAGAACGATGATACTCTTAAATTTATTAGAGAAAAAGAAAGAATGTAACACTTGAAGTAAAAAATATAGTTTCTACACAAAATAGTTTTTACGGAAAATCTATGTTTGAAAGAGGCACTGTTTGATTTATACATAATATTTGCAGTTAATGCTTAAACAATATGACCGAATAATTATGATATGTTAACGTAATAAATGAAATAACCATCTTAGTTTATTAATTCATGGCTAGTCTAAGATTTGCTCTCAGATTGTTAATAGATATCACAAATGCGATCTCATAATTTTCGATTACGCTGTGATGTTTTGTGTCATAAAGTTACTTAAAAAATAAAACCCTATATTGTGTATCTCCACTATTGGGCAAAGGCCTCCTTTGTGGGCAAATATCAATACGGCATTAGTCTGTTTTATAAATATATTAATTAGTTATTATACAAAATGTATATTTTACTTTTTTTCGATTGAAACCGATTAACAGTTGAAACCGAAATTGAAACAAAAAATTTGACTTTTCTATTTTCGGCCAAAACGATATTTGTATGTTATGTATTCAGGTTAATGTTTAATTCAAATGACGTTATACTCTGAAAAACACGGTTCAGAAGTAACCTTGATTGCAAATTATTTTATTTATTAAAAAAAATTATTTTATTTATTTATTACTTATTTTTTATACTTAGTTGTATATGTATTAGTATATCATTATAGGTATAAAGGAGCGGTTTCATTTTTTTTAATGTTACAATGTGGCAAAAGAGCCGGCAGTTCACCTCTACTTCACGCCGGTCTTCTGTGAGGTCGTGGTACTAATGTACTACCACCGAGTGAATCCAACATTCTTCATTCCAATATACAGGAATATCATGAGAATTTGAATTATGTGTTATGCGATGTGTTGATTTACGTCGTTTATGTCGCTTAGCGCAGTTACTAAGCGATAGGTTTCAACACTACTGGTCGGGATTCAATTTCCGCTGGGGACAACTATTTCTCTGACTTGCAGACCGTTCCGAATAGTTACGGATTCAGATTGTGAAGCTCGTTTAACTGAACTAAACTGCAAATAAACTTAAAAAAACTACTACGTCTACAGTACACAAATGTTTGATCACTACAATAATGTCAGTTACGGGCGGTAACACAAAATGTTCAGACCACAATATTTTTTACTAATTGGGATTTGGTAAAAATCCCAAATAGTCAAAAGTCAAAATAGCATAGTGAATAACTTTTGTCAAGAAACTGTGCGTTATTATATATTTTATTAATTATTTACATTCTGACCCAATATCAGGATGTATGTGTCGTGTTATCAACCTGATAATTCCCTCGTACCATTCTAAAGTCGCTCCAGGTAGCATATTGGTTTTAGAAAAATTTCTAGAGACATCTCTCATATTATTTTCAGGGCGAGCATCAACATATTTGTCAAGGTAAGTAGGAAATAGTATGTTACATAAAAGTAATTTATCAAGGCATTGACGAGTCGCAACCGTTTTAACTATGTACATGGAACTACTGTACCCCACGTGTCGTTGATAATATAATTGCCGTCGAAAGTGGTTACGCAGTCTAACCAATATCCTTAAGTAAAACGTACCTGTAAATAATTAGACGAAATTTATTCCAGTGAAAATTTTTCAGTCTCGCAGTACAAAGCAACGCAGAATGTTACTTAAATTTAGCTGTGATTTCAATATTCTATTAGTGGCCCTCTGTTTTTGTATTTATATACGTAAGTAATAGTTCATTACTTAAAAATTTTGTATTGAATTCAAACACTATTAATTTAATGTAGACCATAAAAGCTACACACATTTTGAAGAACACTCCTTTACACACTAATTTACTTTATTATTTAACATAATCACAAACATACATGTTTTTTATTATATGATATAGAGACTATTTTGCATTCCTGATGTTAAAAAACGTGTAAAACTATAACCACACAGTATCGGCGGCGTAGGAACAAATTTAAGTTCTTTATAAAATTGGATGTAACAACGACGTCGCTGTTGCTTATTTCAATGCAAGTTAAAGTTAGCTTGACTTAATACCATATATGTATTTGATTGAATATGTCACGTGCGTTTTATCACCTACCATCACCAAGTTCATAGCTAGGACGGATTAAATCCGCCTTTTATAGTTCGTCAGTCCTTCATTAAGGACAATTGCAGATAAAAGACAAATAAACCAATAAATAAAGACAACAACTACATACATAGAGAAGGGTTGTTCCAAACATGTTAAATTTTTCAGGTTCATGCATCTGCTTTTTGGGTGGAAATTGTGTGACTCCTCCCTTAGACTGCCCTAACGAAAATGTGACATTTTGGTTGTATACCAGGTAAGGTTTTTAGCCGAATACTGTAGCGTGGTAATTTAAATTTTTAACTATAACAATCACATATAACGATTTGACAGGGGGCTCCGTTTGTCTTTATTTTCTAAATCGTAATTCTATAAATTTAAATATTTGTATTTCAAGAAAGCTTAAATTGTAAAGAAGTTATGATTTCGCAATAATTTTTTTAATAAAATTAAATAAAATTCGACGGTAGATTTTGTTAAATTTAAAAATTTACTCAAAGATAAAAGAAAAGAAAACAATGTAAAATATGAGATCTGATAAAGATGATGTGCTGTCCTATTTAACAATTTTTTTTCTTATATTTTATAATTTTTCAATAAAGGTTTCTACAGTTTTGTTATAAACGTTTAAATTCTAGCGTAAATCGAGTATTAATATTTGTGATAAACTTCTTTCAAACAATTATAAGTCCACAGAGTGATGTAGGTATTCTATTATTATTCTCCAGAATTGTAATTACTATTACTATTCTGAGAAATTGAGGGATATAATTAACAAAAGTTCAATAAAGGAGATCTTTCATTCCATCCACCCTAGATTTCTTTATGTGGAAATTGACGTATAGCTTATTCCGTCGTTACTATATTACTATGTTGTTTATAATGTGTACATAAACATGCTTTCTCAGAGCGAACAGTGATAAACCACATCAGTTGAAAATTACGGAACCAGCATCGATTGACATGGCACCCTGGGTCCCTGGTGCTCCGATAAAAATATTAATACACGGTTACACAGGCTATAAAGACTATTCGCCGAATACGGAAATAAGACCAGGTTAGTGAGAATGGAACATAGCTCCCTTATTAGTAGCCCGCATTGCCAGCGTGATGCAAGAACCATAGGCACATTTTAGTGATATGAATTCAAGGTTAACTTGTAATATTGTGCAAGTTGACACCTTTCGATTATATGATACCCATAGACGGTAGATGCGTGTTGAAGGACAAGTTGTGTATCCCATTGAGTTCATAATTAAGTTGATTTTAGCATATATCTTTTACTTTTATATTGGACAGCGTGACAAATTAGCTGGCCTTTTCCCTTATCCTAACAGTTTTCCCTTATACTGAGGCCGATTATGTCATTTGTCAGACTAATAATAATAAATATTTGGAAGAGCACGGAAAGTACCAAAGATAAACTCATAAGTCAAAATGGTGTTCATGCCTTCTCAATTCTCGGTTTTAACAAAAGATGTTGACATCAGGGAAAACTAAAGGAAATTTTGTTAAAGATAAGTAATATTTGAGGAAGTATGAATGATCTTTTGTATTTCCGTCAAATTCATGTTAATTGCAAGAATTTATTCGATAAACACGTTTATCAAACAGTGTTTGCAGACGCATTATAAGATAAAATTCAAAAGGATGTAAACAGAAGTAGAAATATTCTTATCTCTATATAACATATAAGAAATCTTAACATTTATTATGAATACGTTTTAGATAATATATTTTCTGAAACAAAAGTAACAAAAATAATGCGCCTACAGTTTTATAAACATTGAGTTATCGAATTCAAGAATTGTGATAAAAAATAACCTTAGTGAATGTTTCGTTCTTTACCAATTTCAGCGTATTTAGAATGCTGCGATTATAACATTATCGCAATAGATTACAACCCTCTCGCACTGGAACCATGTTATGTGCAGGCCGCGTTTAACACAGAACTAACTGGGAAGTGTTCTGCCCAACTGATTGACAATATGGTCTCTAACCACAGTATTGAACTGTCCAGGATTCACGTCATTGGATTCAGTCTTGGGGCGCACGTCGCTGGATTTATAGCCAATTATTTGAAATCGGGCAAATTAGAACGCATCACTGGTAAATACTAAAACGTTAATTAAATAAGTTACAGAATTTTACAGCTTAATGAGGTTCCGAGGTCTTACAAAATGATTTTGTGCGTTGAACAAAACAGTATCCTATCCTGATTTAATTCTAAAATAAATGGTTACTGTTTGTGACACGTTCATACGTGAAATACGGTGAACTATTGTCTTGTAAAAGTAATTTGAAATTTAATGTAATTTAATAATGGATTTTCTTTAATAATAGATTGTCTCAAGAATGATATTCGCAAAGTCTAATTTATACATTATCGTGTTGCAATTACTTACACCAGGACTCGATCCGGCATTGCCTTTATTTGCTACGGCCGACACAACAAGGAAACTCGACCCAAGCGATGCGAAATTCGTGGACGTCGCTCATACCAACGCGTTGCAAAAGGGTAAACTTGAAATAAGCGGACACGCCGATTTCTTCCCAAATGGTGGTATGCAACAGCCTGGTTGTAAGGCGGATGAAAACTTCAGTAAGTAGTGGATTAGAGGAACAGCTTACGGAATTGTAATCGCAATGATGCACACACATAGCAAATATTTTGCTGTATAAAAGATAAAATAAAATGATAGTATTGAAGTATATGCCTTTGGGGCAAGGAAAAAGGAGGCTAAAAGGATATTGAGGTTCGTAGCAATGAGGGTGAGGGTCCTAAATATCTACAGGAGTGAAGTCAACGGCATCACTGAGTGGCCCCATGTAGTTTTCTTGGCTAATTTTATACGACCGGCCGTCTAGTTGACGTCAACCATTCCTGGAAAAAAAACTAGATCCGAATCAATTATCTGTGAGCCACACAAATACCTGTCCCGTGTGGGAATCCAAACCACAACGTGGCGAAGAAGCCATTAACTTTGCAACCGCGCCACGTTTTTATGTGAGAAGGTGGCAAGCGAGCTGGTGGTTCACCTAATGTTAAGTGACTACCTTTTAATAAAGTGGGCCCTGCCTACCTCAGTCTCCAGACGAAATTCAGATGTATAACATTTCCACGTCACGCTGGTCTTCTGCGATATCGTGGTACTTACCTGAACTGCCCATTCGTGCAATAGCCGAAGGTGTTGCGGGCCCCTAACACCTTTCCTTAGTAATAAATAAATATGTCAAAAAACAAATAAAATCGGGAAAAGATGGAGACTTCTCCTTAATGATTACAGAATATAATAGAGACAATATATAAAATAGAAATAGAAATACTACTGATTTCCAGACTGCCCATTATCAATAAAAAATATATAATTTCTTGAAAACTAGGAATTTACATTCAAAGATAACTTTAAAATATTGTTCTTCGAATTAATTTCAGCAAAATCTGGATGTGAGCATGCAAGAGCTCCTGCATATTATGCTGAATCGATAATTACTAAGTTAGGTTTTTATGGGAAAAAATGTTACTCGTGGATAGCCTATATGATTGGTTGGTGCGAGCTACTCAGCTCTGATGAAGACATCTTGTTCGGAGAGTACACACCGAAAACGTGAGTGATCTTTATGAATCCATTAAACTCTCTAGATTTTTATCTTCAGGGATTTGGATTGCAGATCTTGTAAGGTCTAACGTCCGATAGAAATATTATCTTTATGTGTTTAGTTAACCTAACATAACGGAGTGTAAAGCCGCTTCTTGCGTCATAGGATGTGGGTTCAAACCCCACTACCACTGGGGGTCTGAACTCAATGCTATAAAAAACATTGTGTGATGAACATAACATTTTCCAGGTGCCTCGGTGCTTATATTACTTATTAACAACAGTTTTTGTTACTTGAACAATTATTTTTCATTAACTTCTACATTTTATTAAAATAAAGTAAAAGACTATGTTTGTCCCACTGCTGATCTAAGGCATACACCACGCATAGTTCACGACAGATTGGTGGTTTTTACACATCTTTGAATAATTATAATTTTTGTTATTATTTCGAGAATATGCAGATTTCCTCACGATGTTTTCCTTCACCGTACACCGTACATTTTTAGCGAAAGGGCTTTGGTTAAACTTAAGCATACCCGGCTTAAGATAGATGAAACTAACATTAGCTGGTCCTCAAAGATAAAAGTTTAATCTTAAGTTTATATTCACACCCACCTTTGGCCGTAACATACATATATGTATAACATTATTTATTTACGAAAAAAAAATGTTTAAGTGCACATATTTGTTATTTCTACTGTTGACGACTGCTACTATTGACACCCCGAATGGCACAGTTGATAGTGACCCTGTCTCTTGCCCCAGAGGATGTGGGTTTCGATCCCCAATATTTAAACAATAGAAAAACACTATGTGATTAACATAGTGTTTTTCTAGTGTCTGTGTGTTTATATATCTATAATATGTATTTAATTATAAAATAAGTATGTTTAAGTGTGTTTATCAGTAATCTAAATGTAAAAATGTCCCGAAATATTTATTTATTTATTTACTTAGTTACCATAGTACAAGTTTTGCTCCGTTTATATTTTTTTTTTAAACAGTGTAAGTTCATAAAAAATACTTCTCTTCGATAATATTCTGTTGGATATAAATTTCTTTAGTTTTACCTCAGACATGTTGCTTCAATTTATTTAGTTTGATAAATAATACTTATATAATAATATTTTGACGACTATCACTGGGTGTGCATGTTGAAAACAATTCTTCGGGTATTCTTTCCGAGGCCTGAACTCAATGTTATAGATAAGATAAACATACTTTAAATACTTCCACATCCGATTTTAACGAGGTCACTTTTAATTACATGTTTCTTTTTCGTACTTAAAATGTTATTTAATTATACATTTTTAGTTTTTAAATATGAATCTGATAAAATACGTAACTTTAAACGCTCATCGGTGACTCTTATTTTGGAACTTCTTCTTCGATTAATGGCCTCTCTTAAAAGAATTCTCCAGTTCGCCAATGTCATGTCAATAATATTTTGGAACTTTTTAGATTCTAAGAATAAAAAGTCGACATTTATAAATGTCGACTTTTTATTCTTTTTAAACTTTCGTTCCCGTCTACATATAACTCTATTGTAGAAGGATTAGACTTGCATCACTCATCGATAACTTATAAAATATAAAAGCACATATCATACCACTTCGACACTTTCATTTGATGTGACACTTTAACTTAGTTGAAATACTATACAATTAAAAAATATTATTTGATTACTTACTTAAGAAATGGTATTGGATACCACATATTAAGACTTGGCAGTTTTATTAAATAACTTCATTTCTTCTGTTTTGTTTCAGTGCATCTGGTACATTTTTCTTCACCACAAATTCGGAACCACCATACGCTAAAGGCTTGATCAAAAATAAGTTTTACGATGATCAAGATGACATTGAATGCGGGTTCCAATAAAAGATTTTCAACCATAATGATATTGAGTCATTCTCTTACTGTAGATAGCGATCCATTCTGACAATCGACAGAAAATTTTACGCTTAAGGTCTTCATATGCAAGGCCTTACTTGATCAAACCGATCAAACCATTTTAATTCGTGAATGCTCATCCCAGAAAGTTCCATGGCATCACAAAAGACTGGACACGAAGCACAAAAGACTGCTGGATCAACCACTATTGGCCTTAGGGGCCTTTACAGATCCATAGGGCTTGATGTGGTCGGGCGCTGAGGGCACCTAACTTGAACCTCGTTTAAAAGACTGGCGTAACTTCTTCTATATTTATACTTTTGCATTTCATTTGACGAGTGAGGCAACCTTCTTAATCAAGTTCTCCTTCTTTAAGGTATTCAATACGTGTGCAAACCCATAGGCTTTGTTGATGTCAATAGGCCAGCAGTAATAACATAGCATCCGGTGATTCATCTGTCATTTATATACTATTGACGCTAATAATTTATTTTGTTAGGGATTTTTGAGCATGGCCTGTCTTTAGCACTAATTACGACGTCACCAACATCAGCTAGGATGGTAGTCAATCACTATTCAAAACCATATATTGTAGTATCAGTATTAGCCTATACATGTCCCACTACTGGGCAAAGGCCTCCTCTGTGCAGAAGGTATCAGGCATAGTCCACCACGCGGCCCCACTACGGATTGGCGGACTTCACATATCGTCGAAATAAATTTTTTTTGTTATTATTTCGAAAATATGCAGCTTTCCTCACGATGTTTTCCCTCACCGCAGAGCACGTGATAATACAATACATAATAATGATAACACACGTGATAATATATAATAAATAAATAAATAGGACCCAACCAGACGGAAGCCCTCGACAGGAGACACCAAACGGCCTAGGGTTAAGACGAAAGGGAGAGAAACCGATGAATTTTATTATTTTTGTTGGGGATATTCCTTTGTTTTCTCGTCTGGTTGGGTTTATAGATAAAAAAATAAACATATAGATATATATTGCATATATAAAATAAATATTATGAATAAAAATAAACATATTATTATTTTAATTAATATGTTATTATTTACACTATTTGATATAGCTTTAATGCCGAATCGTAGCACATAATCGTTGCAGCTGGGGTCTATAAATCACCGCAGGATGATTTCGATTAAAAAACGCACATAATTTATTTATTTTTCTTAAACCATCACTCTTGTTGCTTTGAGAGTCATGATGAAATTCGATAAAGATATATAAAATTCTAAGCTTGAGCTTAGTTAGACAATTTGTGGAATTAGTAAAAGCGAGGCAACCAGTTTGGTCGTTGAACCGGAAAACCGCTCGAGCGTTTGTGAGATTCGCTCTCGAAACGGGAACTGAATGCGCATAGGCGAAAATGAGGAAATTTTCACACAGCTTCCGTAAAAAACTGAAAACTACAAGTGGAAAACAATTTCGCCACATTAGAAACAATAACTGCTTTGTAATTACTAAAATTATACTTTTGCACTGATTACTTCGATAACTTAAATGAGTTATAAATTTTTTCTATATAATATATGCTTTTATTGACGTGGAGACGAGAGAACTATTTGTGTGACCCCACAGATAATTGTTTCGGATTTAGGTGTTGTGTTGGTCATGTGTGTACTCGTAAAACGTCACTACATTACATACATACAGCAAGAGGAGCTATGTTTTCGAAGGGAGACTACAAGGATTTGCTAGGGTCACAAGTTTGTTCGGACTTAATATTCAACGCTTTCCACAAAAGTAAAGTACGATACCCTTAGTATTTTTAACACGATTTATTTGTTATAAGAGGAAGGTTTATATGTATAATTCATGCATAATATGGTAAAGACACTGATAATTTTAGAGCCGTGATAGCTCAGTGTCCGGGCGCTCGCCTTTAATTCAATATACTCGAGCAACCTGAGTTCGATCCCCGGTGCCGGCACCAATGAAGTTTTTAACTTTAAGTGCTGACTTATCATGTGCTCCGCGGTGAAGGAAAACATCGTGAGGAAACCTGCATATTTTCGAAATAATAACAAAAAAATATTTCGAAGATATGTGAAGTCCGCCAATCCGCAGTGGGGCCGCGTGGTGGACTTATCCCTGATACCCTCTGTATAGAGGAGGCCTTTGCCCAGCAGTGGGACATGTATAGGCTGTTACTTTACTTTACTTTTTACTGATAATTTTAGAGGTTTCTAAGGCAATGTCGAAAACAAACATTCAGCATTGCACCCGTGTGAAACAAGGGCGGGTGGCTAGTTACCTATATGACATACCAGTACTTCAATCAGACAATCTACCTGTTAATATTTTATTAAAACTACGTTGCACGTACATACCTAAAATAATTATTAAACAAGCTCTCACATATTAAATATCGTTAGTGGGGGCGCAGAGCCAGCTATGTACATATGTATAAAAGCTATGTATCTATGCAATAAACCTTACCTTTACAGACATTTAAAGGTTCAAAATTTGCTGCCATGAAAGTCAGCCACGAAGTTAGATATGCATTATTTAGCAACAAAATATTTCTGTACGGTTAAGCTTTTCTGAATAACTTCATTTTTCACCACTACTGCGAAGTAATGCTAACTGGTTTTGTCCATAATGACGATATACTGGGAAAGGATAAAAGATACACAATGATCGTGGAAATTGAAAAATTTATGTATAAGTATTTCAAAACATTCACAGCTTTTTTCATTTCATCATCGCTTTATACTACCTTGGCAGCCAGAACCTTAATCATTCATGCACGCCTTGACATAATCTAGTAGTATTGGTAATTTAATTGTAGAAAATAGCAGCAAGAAAAATACTCATATAATATTTCGTACCTTCGTCTACAGTATCTACTATAGGTTTCCATTATCTTTCGATTACTTGCTTATGATTACCTGAGATTATTTTTCAAATGAAAAGCGACTGGAAGATAATTTAACAAGGAATCTCAATAATTGTTCTAAATTCGAATGTTAAAAAGCCTAATGGAATATATTACCGAAAAGGGTTATACAAGACTTTTGCTTCTTAAAATTACAAATTATCCACGAGCATGAACTAATTTTCAGTATTAATTCCACTTCCTCATTTCTATACATTAAAACTGGATCACCTTGTGGTTTCCGTATGTAACTTATATTAAAAAACAGAAGCTAAAACTTGTTCATTAAAGTCAATGGCAGTGCATAAAGTAATTAATAATGTACCACGTAGTGCTTACTGCCACGCTTATTTTTTAAACTATTTCTAAATACCTACTTACTTTCAAAGCTTAATTTAAATGTTATTTTTTATTTTCACGAACAATCTCATCATTTACAAGTAATGGATGCACCTCTGTTACAGATAAAGTCACAATATAAAAGTTATACACGTCTGAATGTTTCTATAACAGTCTGATCGTCACTTGTTATCGTGTTGTGTTATCGTTCAAACGAAATTTCTTTATTTCCTGAGCAGTGGTCACAGATCGGCAAACTTTTTTTAGAAGCAGATTTAAATATAACAACGATAATTCATTAGATAAGAATATTTCGCATTGAAATTGCAAACTTCACCCATTTAAGTAGAATTCACAACTTCACAAACATTTAAGTAGAATTTAGTGCGAAGTTTAACATTGAAAATATTAAAATATTAATTATTCAGCCAGGAAGTGCAGACAGCGTTCATGGTACCATGCCGCGTGGATTAGGTTTATTAGATAATATGTAATTTTAGATAGATTTAATCTTGTAAATATTACATAATAAACTCTTAAAATAACATTTAACATTTTCATCTAACTTTTTAGACAATTTGGTACATGACTTAATTTCCAAGTTTGAATGCGGACATTTTGAAAATATATTAGCTTCAAATTGCCAACCCCTGTGATAAAACAAGCAAGTAAATCAAAGTGGATTTTGTCGATATCAACCTAACAAATGATGAAACGACGTTAACGATTTTTATGGGGGTACCCCCATAAAAATCGTTAACCATTTTTAAAATCTCTAACCATCTCTAACCATTTTTAAAATCTAGATATTTAACATTTCAAATAAATTAATATTCTTTATAACATCTTAAATATAACTTATGAGAACTTAAGATAACTTTTCATAATTTAGACGAGAAATATTAATTTAGCAGTATAAAAACAAATTATGTAAGGCAGTTACGCATATATACGAACTCAATTCTAATGAAATATGGGTTTTTTTATAAGCTTTAGCTAATCCGAAACTATTACCAAAAAGTTTTAATTAATAAGGGTTACTTAAAAATGCGAACATAATGGAATGATGGGAAATGGTTTGTAGTACAGATATGGTCGTCTTCGTTTTGTAGACGGTAAATTGCTAACGGTAGTTTTAATTGACACTACCGATAAATAAAATTGTTTTAAGTTTTATTTAACGGTTTATCTGTACACAGTTTTATTTACCAACTTATAGTATATCGCGTAAAAACAAGAAATAATCTCAATATCAACTCTATTTTTTGCAATTTATAGTTGACATAATTTCTTATGCAAAAGAGTGTGTAAAAGTCACACACACAATAGTTATGGTTCATTACCACGGGAGTTCAAGAAGGATACGTCCACTGACGTATCAGTGGAGCCATAGTAGGAAAAAAAAAGAAGGATACGTCAAACTTACATATAACGAATTGCGTCAAACAGAATTAAAGAATTTGATGTGCTGGCGCTTGAAAATTGCTACTTCCTAACTTCCTCCCATCCATCCTCAATTTGAGCACAGCACTTCGCATCGAACCACTATTTCGCAAAAGCGATAGCTTCGTCACCGCGGACATCCGACGTTGGGCAATTCGAGGTTGTTTGGGCGTATGAGGTGGTTGCAAAACTCTTAATGCTATCCTTCGATGTTTTGAAACACTCATTTGCATGTTTGGATTTAAAAAAATGTCGAAACGTTTGTGTTGTTTATGTCCCAAGTTAAGTAAGCAAAGAGTACGTGCAATATGTCTCAGTCATTGTGTTTTATGTTGTAGTATCCAGAAGCATTAACTATAAATACGCTTCAATATTTGTCAAGATTCGAAAAAAAAAAATAACCATTATAAATTTAACTTTTTGTATAGCGCTGGTTGCCATGAGCTGATCTTCACTAGATTTGAAGTATAATTACTACAAGTTTTATTAATGTCTCTAAGTTATCACTCTTTTCATTAAATTATACTAGTAATAAAGTAATAGAACTTAAAAAAAAATACAATAGAAAAATAAAATTTAATTAAACAATCAATATTTTCAAACGCGGCACAAAATAGTAAGTGTAGATTTCGAGTTTTTGCGTTTATTAAATATATATAAACTTAAGAATATTTATTTGCAATTTGCCTTAAAGTAACTGTGGTACTGTTACGTAAATTCTGGCTGGGTTTAATTATACCTGTTTTCCTTCTAGATACTTTCGAATTTTAAACATTTTCATATGAACAGATATTTAGCCGTGTTTACCAGAATATACAACCTAGTGTTTAAAGGTGGCAAGATGCTGTGGAAAGTATCGTAAAGACGTCATGGTTAATAAGCCTATAACCTATTGACGTATTAAAACATCAATGCATTGAAAATTGCATTAGTTACTCACTTTTAATTTTTTTTAGCTAAATCAAAGCTGTTTGGTTAAGAGTGACTAATGACACAAACACATAAGTTATAAATAGAGAACAAAATGTTTAAAAAATTATCATATGTACCGTAAAAGTGTATACGGTCCCTTTTACGTCATCTACGATGTATTTTTCCTTTTGACGTCATAATCTTAGAACTGCGCGATTAAATAATTCAGGCGTTATGTTAACGTCATTTAATGCAGCAATCAAACAGTCCGAGTGCCGGAATCCGCGGCGTCAACATTCAAAAGAGGGGACCCTACGTAAGGCGAGGGTCACACAAGCCCGCCGCCACTTTCGCTCTCTTAGTCCCCGTATAGTATACGAACGTGGTACACGCTCTGCCAAGGGTTGCCAGAGTCTCGTCTTAATTTGCACGTGCGATATACCTAAACAATTGTCGTAAAATCTTGAAATATTTTCCTAAATGTTTTTCATAAAATCGTAAAGTATTTTTTTATTTTTGTCATTAAAATTATTATTTTTATTTTAAGTTAAAGAGACGATTAAGTGATACAGTGATCGCATTAAATGTATAAAAATGGTGACAAGTGCACAGTGGCTGTTTTTATTCGGAATCACCGTAACCCAATTTTCTGGTATGAATAAAAAAAATATTAAGTGCCTACGTACATTTTTAAAACACGTCTTTTAAAACTTGAATGAACAAAAAAAATCATTAATTACGAACAGATATTGTCATCTTCAAACACAAACATCTCATTTACAAAAATGTTATCGTATGTAATTTTTTATTCTAAATTATACAATTGCAGCTGCACATTACTTACAACTCTACTCTACTACTAAGTAACTACTACATTACTACCAAAAGTAGAGTTCCTAAAACATCATCAAATCAATTTTTATGTGTTCTGTATGAAACTTTAAAACGGCTTAATACATTACACTATGAGTTAGAAAACATTAATATTTTTTTATTATTATAACACGGTTTACACAACTGGAATAAATTATGGCGGATTAACTTTATCATCTCTGCCTGTTTAGTATAATTGCCTTAAACAAAAAAAAGTCTGTGTATTCGCGCACGATTTGCCGGCACACATCGCGGGGCGATCGCACAATGCCCGCCACTTCCGATCCGAATGTTACGTTAAACGTGCGGCCGACATTCGTGTTGCATAACGGACCGTCTTGCTCTTTCGCGCGTTACTTAATTCAACGCCGCCTCACGTATATTCTACACGAATTTGTTGCGAGTTTGCTATTTTCCTTTCGACCGTTTCATCAAAGACTTATCAGTAATTAATGATGCACCAGCCATTTAAATTGCAGTGATCGTTACACGACAATTTGTAGATTGCGTATGACGATAGTTTCGTTAGTAGGATTTTAATAATGAAATATTTTAACAACGCCATTAGCTGATAGAGCGAGAGCTTTAATGTTTTTGCCGTAATTTAATATTTCGTTTTCTGTGAAGTGCACCTAAATAAAGCATATGCATAATCTATTAAGGTTTCATGCAATGGGTAATTATAATTTTGTTAATCTGAGAACCGTAGCAGTTTAGTACGGATCATTCCAATCCCGGTACGGGCACTGCGCACTATATCTACAACGCACTATATATAGTATGTAGGAAGAGTATAGTAGTCTAGATAATTAAAAGAAAATCATATCACCCATTGCTCGGAACTTACTATATTTAAATTTTTCCTATTCTCTTGATAGATCTGTTCACTAATCGATGAAAGATTTTGGTATTCATCGGTGCTTTAAACACGTTACAAGTAATAAAAATGTTTGACTAAATTTTTATAAATTTTAAATTATGAATGTCTTCGTCACTTGTATGATGTCTTGAATGTTCTTTAAATTTTATTTAAAATCCTACCAATCGTCCTTATTCAATTACACGTAAACTTATAAATATACTTAATATTGCGCTGAGTGAGCGAAGGTCAACAACAAGGCTTTTGTTTCAATCGCATTTAATCATAAAAAACAGAACACCGTTACGTAAGTAATTTACGAGCTTTTAGTAAACATTATATTTTTTAATTTATAGAGCCGTGATAGCTCAGTGTCCGGGCGCTCGCCTTTAATTCAATATACTCGAGCAACCAGAGTTCGATCCCCGGTGCCAGCAACAATGAAGTTTTTAACTTTAAGTGCTGACTTATCACGTGCTCCGCGGCGAGGGAAAACATCGTGAGGAAACCTGTGTATTTTCGAAATAATAACAAAAAGAAATATATTTCGAAAATATGTGAAGTCCATCAATCCGCAGTGGGGCCGCGTGGTGGATACCCTAATACCCTCTGTATAGAGGAGGCCTTTGCCCAGCAGTGGGACGTGTATAGGCTGTTTATTTTTTTTTAATTTACATAAGGCAATGCTAAATGGTAGCAATAGCGATTAATGCACGCAATATATCTCAAGTTACGGAATCCAGACGAGTTATGATTTACTTACAAAAAATGTTGAATTCTGAAAAACTTATTATTTTGGCATAATGTTAGGAACATATGACGTAATTGTCGTCAGTATATGCTGCGTGATCCCAATAATATTTTATAGACGACAAATATTCGAAACATTATTTACAATAACTTTCTGGTCAGCTCTCGATGTCTTCCTTCAGCCCAGAGTACCTGGTAAAAATAGTAATAATGATAATAATTAGTATGTATTTTTTATCTGTTGCCAATAAGTGCCTTTGTTTAGAAATTTTCCATCTCGCAGTATATTACCTTGCAGATATTGCGAGATTTAAAGAAATCTTTATAACTTACGTTAAGGTCACGTCATGTAATTTGCATATATATAAAGTGAGAACACTGAGAACCGACTTTATACGTTTGCGATGTTTCGAAAATATGAAATCGTAATTTGAGCGCACGTATAAATATTAGTTTTATATTACCAGTCACATATACAACGCTACCCTATCATTTCTTCCTTATTATTAATTCTCATAACATTGTTTTATGAATAACTTGAAATTATTAAACTTATTTCATCAAACATTATTAAATATTTTTGTAATAAATGACACTAAGCGCAATAAGTCAATTAAATTTTTGGCAGTCGAAAGGACTTTCATTATGCTTTTGCTGTGAATAATCAAGTTTTTAGATTATATGTAAACGGAATCCTCTAGTAGTTTTTTTTGAATTAACATACCGATTATAATAGTTTATTCACTAACAAGAAAGTTTTTTTGTCGTAGAATTGTGTATTGTTTTACCCAAATCTAAATTATCTTTATGTATCATTTGTAAATCATATCGGAGAAGAGCTTATAACTTCATACATTTGGCCTTCAACTACTGTTGACTGTCATTATTCTTTCTGTGATAGAACAACACAAGCTTATAAAAGCAGCTGCTGTTGGCCAAATAGATCACCCCATCCACACCCAGGGCTCGCTCTCACTGAAGTGCGTGAAGTAAAAATGGTAAAGTATTTGCCATTTTACACGTGCTTTGAAAAATATTTATTATTTCTCTATGCATGCAAAGGCTGGATGAGCGGGGAAGTATTTAATAAGGTGGTAGAAGTCATTAAGAGTCGTTAGAAGGTGGGTCTAGGTTACTCAAAGGTAACGTGAATTTACGTAATACGACCTCTAAAATGACCAAGAATTCGATTGGGACGGGACTTCGAAAATGACGAAATCTGACCTCCGTTTAGCTACGTGATATCCATCATACATGACAAATGGTAGCTGTGTCGTTTGCCACAATATTGGCGTTTATAGATTATGCAGCAGTGTATGTAAACTTGGTAAGGCTGCGCCATAGTATTTAATGTTGCAAGAATGGGCAGGTCCGTCGCGGGAAGTACCACGACCTCATAAAAGATTGGCCTGAAGTGGAAGTACACTTCTACGTTTCGTAGGTGAGTAACCGGGGCCGGCTTTATTAAGAGTTGACCATGCATCTGCACCCTATGGGTGTTGGAAATGTCCATGAATTGAACTAAACGTCGTAAAACCGATTTTCGTAACTTAATGGCATAGCACGTAGCGCTAAATACTACATATTTTTCGAACTTCAAAAGAAGAAGGTATTTATAAGACTACTAGAAACATATATTAATTTATTCCTAGCTAAGCGCTAATTTTTATATGCCCCGAATGCGTCAACTAATTTGCCTTTTAAATGAACAATGCCATTAAGATGTATGTTTCATGGCAACAAAAGACAGCCATTAACAGAATGACTTTCATTTATTTACGCAACGTTCTAAAACGTTCAAACCAAATATCATTGTTTTGATTCACTGCTGTTGTTATTACTTCACATTGATCGACAAAAACTTCGTGTTTTTATTAATGCTACAAAAATAAAAATATTAACTGAGTGTAGACTACAACGTACCTATTGCATACAAAACTTTTACTGCCTCTGTCAAAAACGAATGACGTACAGATAAATTTAACTTTTTGTTACACATCTACGCTTTTGAACTTTCAAATATTAACAAATCATGTTCATCTGGAATACAAAGACTATATTAAAGGATTAATGAACCCTTACTAAATAAACTTAGCACATTGTGCAACAATCATTTCCCTTGAAGATGGTTGACAGACATTTAAGGTTATAATAATATTTACGCTACTAATTAATTTATTATCGTGTAATTACGTTGAACCATTCCTAAATCATTCATCAAAAATGTAGTTATATTTAAGAACCCTAGGACAAACATTTGTATGATACACATGTTGATTACCCAAATACCCTATGGGCCTTTGCCCAGCAGTGGGACATTTATCGGCTGTTAGTTTACTTGACTCTACTTATAAAACGGAGTATCGCGATAAATTTTTCAGAATGTTTAAGAAGATCCAATTATGACTGGTGGTAAGCCTGTCGCCATTTACTTTCCACAAAAGTGAAAGTGATATTCGCACACCACTGGGTTTCGAAACGGTGATAACAAAATCAAAATCGTAAAAGTTGTTTCCTTAGATTAGATAATTTCCTCATAATTGATGTAGCTGAAGACATTGCGCTCATTGTTGCAAAATAACACGCTTTTGGCGTTTCAGTAACGATCTCGTCAATTTTGGGTACAACAACCAGTTTCATTTAATATTAGATGCTGCCATTCAGACATGGGGCTTGCTACAACAACCAGTTTCATTTAAGAAAATAGTGTTTGGTGCTCGCGTCTCGGGGTGTCATGATTTTTGTTAACCCAAAAAGTGCTCGTATAAAATCAAAGATAAATGGAACAAGATTAACGTGGTTAAACACGCAGAAGAGTCTGCCAGTGTCCGGATGGGTAGGCTTGTCCAAAGAAGTAGGTACCGCGGCCTCACAGAAAATAAGAGTAAAGAAGAAGTATTATACTTTCTCTCTTCATCTGGGTAGGTAACCGGGGCTCACTCCTTTAAAGTTTGTTGTATATTATGTACGTAAATAATGTATATGCAACAACACAGGCAATGGCATCGTAGGCAATGATATCGGGGCCCTGGGGCACACAAGAATTTGGGGGCCTATTGGAAAGTGCAAAAAGTTAGTTACATCTGGGGATGTGCAAATATCTCACGTCAGAAAGGTAGATTTGATTTGTCTGTCAAATTTTAACTAAGCTAAGCTAAACGTTGCCAGAAAATAGCAAACAGTATCCTTATTTACTTGATTTGCTTGACCAGGCTAAGGCCCACCCGCGGCTGTAATGCTTCAGATGATGATGATGATGATGATGCTTATTTACTGTATAATTTTTTTGTCAGTTTACATTTACCTAAAATAGAAAAAATATGTAATAGTGTAAGAAAATATTGAGACATTTTGGGACCCCCCCCCATGATGGCGACCTGGGCACGGGCCCCGTGTGCCCTTATAGTGAAGACGGTACTAACCACAGGTTATCATTTAAAATCGGGGGTCGCCTGCTCGCTTAGTGGTATGAACTGTTGAGACTATCGTTTTTCGAAATGCAAAAACACTAGCACTAAGAACAGTGCTATGGCAATAAATTGCAATTTATTTCCGTCAATGTATTGTATACGTTAAGGTATATTTTTTGAGTGAATGAAAAATAGAATAAATAAAAGGTGATCTCGTCATCAGGATACATATCAAAACACAGCATCTGTTCTCATTTCCAGAAACGTTACAAAGTGAATCATAAGTGAAAGTGCTTTGACCTGTCACAGCGTCATCGTTTATGTTGTGCCCAATCAAGTCAGATCCTTATCGCGTTACAATTGCTGCCAAAAGAAAGACAATTCTAGAGTGGATTTCTTCACCTGTCGACACGAGTATGAGAATGTTATTTAACATCAATAAACGTTTCTTGCGTCATTCATTGTCTTTTAATATTGCTGCAATAGACTCTCAAGGGATATTCAACTTTCCTAGTATATTACTCGTAAATCAGAACGTTTTGTATGATAGAAAAACGTGTAAACTGTATATCGTCATTCCATTTCCCTGATTTGCAAACAGTTGTAATAAAATGGCGTGCATTTTGGCATACTACGTTCCCTCGAATAATGTTTAATTTTTTTGTAAATATAATATAAATTTTGGGAGTAAAAAAATTATTTACCATTTAATCACTAATTTACACATAATTTTTAGGGTTAATGGATTATTCTTTAATTAGTTAACACCCAAGATGACATATTTCCATGTAAAAAATGAACATAAGCAATTTAAATCTTAAATGTAGCGATCAGCACTATGAAAAATTAAATTTCTAATAAGCAATTTAATGTTTTTTTACTTTACGTTTTATAATGCAGATAGCATTTTGCAATAAAGGGTTACACTGAATTCATGCTTGAAGAATTAATAACCAAAAAGATTTGTGAATAAATATTTATGAGAAGATGTTCACTGTTAAACTATGATTCGTTATGCTGGTTCAAAAAAAGATGAAAAGCCTGCAGAATTACTTTTCACGGGATAGTTTATCTTTTTTTGATTTCTTATATGGCATACTGCACATGTATATAAATAAATTGATAGATGTCGTTCATTGTGCACGCAGAAAAAACTACTGGATAGAATTTAATGAATTCTCCTAATAATTTCTTGTATTTATGCGTTTATTCATTATAAATGAAACCATTTTTACCGATTTATCGCTTTTATTTTCCCGACATTTCTTTCATAGTCACGGGATAGACTGAGGCGTTGGACGTCTGAATGTTATAGATAACCCGAGCTACCGTCAGTTTTTAATTTTGTGTTCGATCTATGCATGAGAGCCTCTAAGCGATCTAAGCCTTCTTAACCGTAGACACGGTTACTTAGTTTAATTCAATACCGTTCTGTTCTGTTCTGTGCGTAGATTAATAAAAGACAATGCGAATATAGAGATCACGGAGTAAATTATAGCAAACGCTCTTAGCACCTCCCGTAGACCGTGATAGACACTTTTCACTTCCGCAACACATTGTGTACATGACAATTTGTTCGATAACGATCAAACTAAAGCCTGATGCATGTTAATTCATCAAAAATAATGTCAATTTAAACTCGGGCCTAAGAGTTAGATCACCTAAATGGCGGCCTTAAATGGTGCTGGTAAATGGTGTTGTCGACCCGAATGGCATGGTGGGTAGTGTACCTGTGTATCCCACTACTGGAAAAATATTGTGTGATAAAAATAGTGTCTTTCTGATTATTTATATACAAAATAAAAGTATGTTTAAGTATGTTTATCAGTTATCTAGTACACATAGTACAAGCGTTGCTTAGTTTGGGACTAGAAAACGTTGTGTAAAAATTTGTCCTAAAATATTTATTGTACGGTTCATATGAAGCAGAGGACCACCGCCTATATACATTAACAACAGTATAGTGTGTCCAACACGAAGCAAAAAACTATAGATACTTTTACATGAGGCCGGTCTTCTGTAAGGCCGTGTTACTTCTCTCGTTGAGCTGGCTCATTGTTGCAGCTGAAGCTGTTATGTATATCGTTGCTTGCACAGAATAAACTTAACGAAATCGGAGCATACAGCGAACGTTCAAATAAAAATAAACTGGTGTAATAGCCTAAAACCTGGTAATTCAAAGGTAGTAAGATATAATACCCTCTGAATAGGGTATTCAAGTATCAGGTATCAGGGTATTCTGGTATCCAAGTCACAAGCAATGACGTGGAACTGTAAAGAAACCATTACCTTGTATTTTCGCTTAAACTTTTACTTTATAAGTTAAAATCGTTCTTTAATAACAAACGATCAAATGGATCAATGAGGTTTTTACAAAACAAAACCTGTTTAAGCCGATTATTTTGCGTACGAACAATCTAGAAAACATTGAAAAGGTGCAACCATTTCCATTTATTGCAACTTGGGCCGCGGGGATTTTCGTACCAGCTTGTTTTGTACATAATTGTTATGTAGTGCAATGTTACCTTGTGTACATTGCCGACTGTTAACAAATTATGAAACGGTTCTGTTTTCTCTCCAATAATTCTCGCCGTTTATTATAAAAGTAGTTTTTGTACTATAGCCCCTAGTTCCGAATAGCCATTACATTGAAATTTTTAACATAATTAACATAAAGGTACATAACACAGATTTGGATGTGACTATAGGTTAAAAATAAACGTGCAAAATGATGACTGACAGTAAATGCAGTAAATAAAACATTTGTTTCCAATAAAACAAATATTGGTTCAGAGAATGTTTTCAGAACATATATTTTTATTTCTTATTCAAATATATCGTGTACATTCCACTTCCCAAAATATCGAATTTAAGGAAGGCTCAGGGAGTATATATGAGATCCTAAGCAATAAGTAAGTAATATAAACTAAGTAAATTATGTAGTTTATATATATTAGTACCTGGAGGCCCGAGCTTTGCTCGGTTTGTTTTTTTGGTAAATCGTGTATTTTGGAAATTACATTTAGATACTAATTACTAAGCAATGAAATATGCATAATATGTTTCGATTTTACCGACGTAATAATAAGAAAATATGAACTGGTGTTTTTCAAAAAAGAAAGAACTTTAAAAAAAAATAACAAATCAAAAAATAACAAAATAACAAATCAACAAAAAAATAAAAGATAAAGAAAGCAATGATCTGGAATCGAAAAAAAAGTAAAATAATAAGTGTGTAAATGATCGTGATACGAACCACGGCCTTCTGTTTCGTGGCTGTTTGTTAGCGACCGCCCGATTACCGAGCTATTATAACATTTTTTTTCGGTGAAATTTACCGTCGTATTCGAATAATATTTTTCATTCCCTGAAAACTGGGATAAAACGACATTTTCTAAAAATCTAGTCAGATCGATTTTTCGCCATATATATATATATAAGAATTGCTCGTTTAAAGGATAAGAGATAATGTACCTCTCATAACGATAGCTAAATCATAAGGACCGTGTATCATGTTAACCATGGCGTAACGAATAATTGTCTTCGTAATAACAGTGCAGCAAGTTGAGAATGCGTAATGGTGCAATACAACGTTCAATGTTTCCCAATTTTTAATTGCACCCAGTTCGATAGAATATTCCACACGGTAGTATAATTTACAGTTGTTAATAATGTGTATCGTTGTTGTTTTCCTTTCAGTTTCGGTAACGCAAGAGAAAGACACCCGCGAGAGAAGGCCCCAGTCGGTCCGCGACATTTTGAACAGCACCTCCTGTATTCCGGCACCGTTCAGGTGTCCACATCCACAGATGGAGTTTTACCTCTACACCAGGTTAATGATTGTGATTAAGTTCAGTAAAAGATGGAGAAGCCCAAAAGTACATAATGCCCTCTAGTCTTTGGCGTTGTAGAAGTTTGTGTGGGATGTTGACTTCAGTTAAACTTAATTGTTTAGTACTTAGTGATTCTGTGGACATGCGTCGTAAATTTCGGCACAAATGTACTTTTTCGTGTTTATGTGCTTTGTTGCGCGTCACTTGACCCAACAAGCATTTTTAAGCACCAAGAGCGTATTGTGATAGGATACAATGTACATTATAATGATATGTTCCATTAAAAATAAGTATTTCGGTATTGTCGACTAGCAATGAATGGAGGTTATTGGTATAGTTACTTTTGATTTCATTAGTCAACTCACCAACTGTATTGTGTCCAATAGTTTAATAGTTGTGTCCGAGTGTATTTTGTGTCCATGATTTCATGTTTGTGGAAATCGCAACATGGGGGAAATGATAAAAATAATAGATATAGGGTAATATCATACGTCATATCATATCACATAACGCCTTTTGGAATGCGGAAATTGATCCACTGTTTTGAAACAGTCACTTATAGTAACTGCATCAGCATGCCTATGATAGTATTAATATTAAATAAAATAAATACAATACACATCCATACTTCCATACTAATATTATAAATGCGAGAGTAATTCTGTTTGTCTGTCTCGCTTTCACGCCAAAACTACTGAACCGATTCAAATGAAATTTGGTATACAGATAATCTAGAGCCTGAGAAAGGTTGTTTGAAGGTATTGTCATTTTCGGAACGAGAAGCATAAAACTTATATTTTAGGCTGTTGATAGGCAACATAAAGAACCACATTGAACATTTATGGGATAAAATGCTATATAATAGCTACGGTTAAATTGGATGAAATAGCTAACTACAGTTCTCTATATATTATGATCTTTAAAATGATAAAGATTGAAAGTTTATTATAAAGTTTAAAAAAATTGTGAGTCGTGAGTGTGAGACGGACACGAACCGTTCTGTACGTACTTTTTAAGCAAAATAAAATGTAGTATATACGGGCGGAGCTGCGGGTGAAAAGCTAGTAAAACGATAAAGTTTAAAATTGATTACGGTGGTAGGGCCACGCAGCAGCCTCGGCTGTTACACGAATGGGCAGGCTCATCCGGGTAAGTACCACGACCTCACAGAAGACCGGCGTAAAGTGGAAGTATAATACTTTCGCGTTTCGTCTGGTGAGTGAGGTGGCCGGAGCCCAACTTTCAAAAGGTTGTCAACGCATCTAGATGTCCATGGGCGGCGATATTCACTTAACATCAGGTGAATCGTCAGCTCGTTTGGCAACTTTTCACATAAAAAAATATGTTATTTATAACCGGAATGGATGGATGTAGAACTAGAACGGCAAAGTATAGAATACTAAAATTATTTTTTTAATAATTAGAATTAGTTATCTTTCCGGCCCTGATCTAAATGAACCTTAAAATAAAAGTTATCAGCACAAATGTATAAGAGCGAAAATAGTTTTCTGTTTGGATAAATGATGGAATAATTATCATGTCATGATAAATATTCCATTTTTTAAGAATTTAAGGGTATTAAATTCTTAAAAATGATGGAATATTTAAAAACCTTACATATTACCTACATTTCCAGAAATACACAAGAGAAGGGGGAGCTAATAAATACCTTGGATAACGATTCATTGACGTATTCAAGATTTAATACGAAACATCCAACGAAGATAGTCGTCCATGGTTTCGGTGGTGGCAGAAACCTTTCGCCTAGCACCGACATGAGGAACGCATATTTCAAGCGAGGAAATTACAACATTATTATAGTGGATTACGGCAGCCTAGTCAAAGAACCTTGCCTCAGTCAGGTTGTTAAGCATTTATCTCGTATATTGACTATTAAATAAAAGCTATAAAGTTTTACCTTGGCTTAACAATTGTACTAACATAAAGTTTTAAGTCGTAGCTTATCATATCTTTGTCATCACACGATGTATATACACTTGTTATGTGTTATGATGTATATTTGCATCACCGTTCCTGATCGCAGCGAGCTATTGGTGTTTGTTGGCATAAATCGTCATGTAAGAAAAAGGCGTTATGACCCTTTCATTTGACTCTCAGCTACAAAATCTACAGATTCTCTCAACGAGGGGAAAGACTAAGAAAAATTGAGACATTATCTTTTTTTTCTTTCTAGATAGAGTGGGCTCCTCGTTTTGCGAGCATGTGCATAGCACAACTCGTGGATTACCTGCAGTACCATCCCGTAAAAGCAGTGGCACCAGAAAGAATGCATACGATCGGATACAGTGTTGGTGCACACATTCTTGGTCTCGTAGCAAACCATCTTACTGATGGAAAACTGGGAAGGATCACTGGTATGAATTTAAAATCATTGCTAGTTGTATTAATTACGGTTAATCTTTGGCGGAATTGACATAACTGAGTACACATATTCAAATTCAAATATCTTTACTGAACATAGAAGCCTTACAGTTACTTATTGACTGTCAAAATACTACTACCGGTTTGGAACTTAAAAGATCCGGCGAAAGAAACTCAGCGGGACATGTTGCCATTATTTTCTAAAAAAAACATGTTTACAATGTATAAAAATCCTGTTGAAATAGCCTGGAAAGATAACATTTAAATAATCACTAATATACAAATATATAATAAAAAATAATACAATATAAGGTGAAAATGAGATTATTAAATATTTCAGGTTTAGACCCGACCATTTTCTTTTACATGGGAAACAATCGCTCTCGAGACTTAGATCACACGGATGCTTTATTTGTTGATATCTTACACACGGGTGCCGGGATTTTGGGGCAATGGGGTCCCAATGGTCACGCTGATTTTTATGTCAATGGAGGCTCTAGCCAACCTGGATGCGCACATGATACTATTTTTCGTAAGTTTTATTAATAACTAATCGCCTTTTAATCGTGAACAAAATAAAAAGTATAAACGAAAAGAAATCAATATTAGAAGCTGTATATTTCAATAAACCGCGCCATCTAGTACATATTAGCACAGTTGTGTTTATTTTGACTGAAGCAAAAAAATGATAGCATCATTTGTAGAAACTGTTCTATTTGTCACTAGATGGCGCTAATGTTTTTATTGAAAATTAAGAATAGGTAATATACATAATTGAAAACTATAAATTAAAAGGAAAATAGAAATGAAGTTCTCATAAAAATGTATAGTCAAAATTTAATTATTCTTTGCTTATTCTAGAAACACTTTCCTGCGACCACACAAAAGTGACTCCATACTTTATAGAGTCGATTAATAGTCCAGTGGGTTTCTGGGCCGGGCCTTGTCCAAATCTCTTCTCATATCTAATTGGTTGGTGTGAACCTAAGGACACCGAATATGTCCTAATGGGAGAGCATGTAACACACAGGTAATGTTGGAAAACTATGAAAAAGCTTGCAATAGATGTTAATAATACGAGGTTAAAATAGAGGGCGTTTTAATCAAAAGGCTGTGTAATTGCTATTAAGTTGTGTACAAAAATGTCGTATGAACATTTGCTAAATGCTTATGCGTAATATTAGTCATAGCGTTTTAATAATACAAAATGAAGCTGAACAAATGGCTTTTCATACGTGACGAGTATTATAATTTATTTTATTATTCACATCATCATTTATTTATTCACAAATTGCGAACCGCTTATCTTTTCTATATGTATTTCTTTAGTTTGCTGGATTCAAAATGAGCAAATTTAAGTTGGACTCTATGTTGATACCTGTATTAAACTGAAATGAAAAAATCGAATACTAGAATCTATGATAGGTTTTAAAAAAACTACTAGTAGGACGTCACTGTATTTTACACAGAAATATTTTAATCATAAGTTTTGTTTAGTCCCACTTCTTCGCGTCCTTGCCACATGCCTACATGGTACTCGAAGAATTCTGTAGGAAAGATAAGTCAAATCGACATATACAATGAGACATTTTCATTACATAAGTTAAGATTTCTAAAAAGGATGTGTATTTCACTTAATTTATGTTAAGTCATTTATGAATCGATTTTAAAGTCTTTATGCATTAGATTAGATTCTCTCCAATGTAGTTCCGTGTTAATTTAATTGATATTTGACCTTGGACATCGCATATTCATCATGGAACTCCTCAAAAAAAATTGACATATTAAATTAATGTACAGTGAGTGAGATATTTGAGGTCGGTTTCATTGTTTATGAATAAAAATCTACTTGTGTATGTTCAAAAATGTCATAAAAAAGCACCTGGCACATCTACACAATATTTACGAACCTCTGACACCAAAAAATCCCCTTTATTTGATAATGTGATCTACTGTCCATCTTTGGTTCAATTAAGCTGTGGTGAAAAAGGTATCGTAGCGAATCGATATATTCAAATTTCTACACACACAGTCACACTCAAAATGCTATTAATTCATTAAAATAACTATAATTATCTTTCCCTTTAATGTTATATCATATGGTAAATAAGTTAAAGATGTTGTATTTATTTTCAGAGCGCGTGGCGTGTATTACGTGACAACGAATGCCAAACCACCATACGCACGAGGCTTCCCTGGTAAAACAAGGCGCCTGAGATCCGTCACGCCATACAGTTGATGATGCATTTAGGAATCTTAGCACAAATAATGTATGGGCAATGCCAACGATCACACTAATGAGTTGTCTTGTTGTCACATTCTTGTCGTTACGTGAATATAAAATTAGATTTTATTGGCCAAATATTTGATTTAGGTTTTTTGTCTAGCAATTTTTAGCCTGTAGTTAATTCAACAGAGATATGAAGAACTAGAATCTCGCGAACGTGCCTATTTATTATTATTACCTTTCGTTTGGTCGATGATCCATCATGCTTCTAAGTGAAAATTTTTTTATACGTAAAGTTCAACTTTAATGTTTAAAAATGCCGTTTGTTACTTTTATTTGGTTTGATCTCATTATTTATCCACTATCGTTTATTAGTGTCTTAAAATTGAAATAAAAATACTACAACCGAATGTTAATTATGAACCGAATGAGTTTTATGAACGCCTAATCCTGTTTTATTGTAAGAGTTACCAAGAATAGATATTACATATAGTTAATCCTCGACGAAAATAAAAAACGTTGAATAAGTAAAATTTTCGATGATTTTAAAATATTCACGTTTTGCATGGTTTATGGTCTTTCCGGAAAAAAAATATTTCTTTGTGTCATGTAATGTTTAGTTTGGTATAAGGATATTAAATATTATTTATTTTACGATATTCTGTATTTTATGTAGCCTCAAAATATAAATAGTTAAAGTAGAGAGTTGTTTGGTGCTCGGTAGAGAAGTTGTTTCAACCTATAGTCGCAGGTTCTAAAAGCTTTCCTTTGATTATTTATATCATCAACTGACAATTGTTCCCTATCTGATAAGTCCATTTACAATTGATGAATGAAACACGTCTTTGGACACGGATCAAATAAAACATTCAGTTTTGCAGATTTTTTGTTTGACACTAGTGTAGAACATTTTATTTTTACTACTACAAATACTAATATTTTTAAACAACATATAATAATATTATAATTCATTTGAAATATTTTATTGGTAAGAATATCCTACGGATACGGAGCTGTAAACCAATATCAGGATGATTAAAAAAAAATGCACAAAAAAGTTTTCAAACATGTATTAGGGAATTTAATGTCATCATTAGTAAAAAAAACTTTTTCAAATTATACTTAACATATTGTACAGTCAAGGAATAATTTCTGAATGGTGTACAACTGTTGAATATTTTAATAGTTCATACAATATGTTCAACTTATTGTTTATTAATAATACTGAACATACATGTTAGTAATGTAACAAATCAAATTTCAACACAAAGAAATAATGTAAGTAATTGCTATAAGTACAAAAAACAGTGAAACATATGTATAATCATTTCGTCAATATCTCTAACAAATTGCACTTTATATCATAAAAGAGAAATACTAATAATTATAAAACAATTGTAAATTTCAACAACAATGTATAAATTAATCAATGATCCTAAAAATATTTTTTCCACCGATACTGAAAATAATATTAGCTTACTACACACCGCAAAAATAAGTTACTTTCACTGTATAACTCAATAAATTGAAATATCGGAATAAATAAATAGTTTTTTATTATTTAAAAGGCTAATAAAAAAAATTCCTGTGTTCATCACATTTCCCATTCATTAGATTTACTTCGATAATAAAACTTCTTATTAGACTCTTACTATTTATAAAGGTCTTAAGATTAAAAATAATGATAGTGAGAACTAAATTTATATTTATTATTATTTCTTTTCTTTCTTCTTTTGTTTCTTTATATTAACCTTACTCATTATTTCTTACAATTAACAGCTCAAGCTTCGTAAAACATATTTATTGTGTGAAAAAAAAAAACAACCGGTACAAAATCTAATTCGGGACATGTTTAACAATAGAAAAACGTCAACAAGTTTTTGCAATCATACAGGGTACGTGGCGATAATAATAATAGAAACAGCGAAATAGGTTAACAGATGTTTTAAAGACAATATTTTTAACAAAATAAAAATTTTCCGTTAATCTGTTGATCGCATTTAATTATTCTTTTATTGAATAAAAGCGAAACCATAAAATAAAATAGAAATGGTTTATATACCTCGTTTCTCTTATTTTATTAATTATTAGTAAGTTCTAAATATTAAGAAAACTTTTTAATGTGTAGATCGTTATTGTCATCAATATTTCATTGATTTTGTAGAATATAACTTACATCACTACATATTTAATTAAGTACTTAAAATTTAACTATGAAGCTATTTGATAGGCCAAATCGAAACTGCAATATTGATAATAATATGTATACGAAATTGAATTCTACAATAAACACACTAAGTCACCGAAATAGTTATTTTTAAAGGAAACTATTTTAAAACTCTTAAGTGTAAAAAGTTCGTTTTATTTTTGTTAGTGTGGTAGCAACGATTTCATATTAAAACGCCTCCCAAAATAACAATTTTAAAAAGAATTTAAAAAAAGACCTGACACCATCTGAACGCAAATATCACCTAAATATTGAGTACAAATTATTCGATTCACATAATCAGTTTATATAAATTAATAAATAAGTTTCACGTGATCACATGACGCAGATCAAAAATTTTAAAGTAACTTTTTTAATACTTCTACGGTTTTGCCCTTCATTGCAAATTAAGAAAGCCACACAAAATATTTACAGCGTAAATTGTGGGAAGTCCCTAAGCATGAGTCTAATCAGTAATTGACAAATCAGTTCTTCTCGCGAGAATACTTACGGCTTAAATATAACTATCCATAACAAATATTACTATAGAATTGGAATAACATGTTATATGAACAACTGAAACATCAACAGCTGAACTGAATATGATGTAACAAAACAATAAATGATTCCAAAAAAGTCACAAAATTGAAAAGTAAAATTGATAATGCATGAGACATCATGCTCCTCGAACCACCCATAAAAGCAAATATTAAATTAGCAAATATCAATAAGAATATGAATTTTACAAGTCTCTCGATCATAATAACTGTTTTTTGGGTAAAGGTCAACACAAATGTTATTTAGGAAAGTTATAATTCAAATAAAAATTTAAGATTATAATAAAACCCTACTTAAATTGGTTTGTATTGCCTTCTTGTAGGCCAATGTCTAAATGTTATGATTTTGTAAATAAGAAAAATAAAAAAATAAAAAATGAAAAAAATATGTTTAATAACTGATGTGAAAAATATGTCAAAATAATTCATTATTCAGTTTAATACCATTTCTTTTTAACAGAACAATAAAATAATTAAAACGATTACGACGACTTGGATAAACAAAAAATAATGAATTTATTTTTTATTAAGTTACCTATACCTTTATAAACCTTAAACTACGGGCTCGATTAACGAGCTTTATTGTCAACACAGCCTTACAGAGTGAGATCACTCCGTTTTATATACACTAGTTCCTTAACGTACTTAACTATTGCTTAAAAAATAGCAATATTCAATAACTATACTGCCTTACTTTAGAAAATTAGCCTATCTCACTTATTCTACGAATATATACCTGTTATGAAAATAATTAATATTCAGGAATCACTCATAATGTTTATTAATGTTTAAAGTTTTTTTTACTAAACATCTCTGATAAAAGAAAGGAACGATAGTTAAAGTCTAAAATTATAATCTATTGCAGTTTTTGTTTGCGTATAAATCCAATATAGACTTTAATTTGTACTGTATGATGATCTATCAACTATTCTTTATGAATTCTCGCTAACAAGTTATTACGACTATTGACATGCCTGTGGCGTGGAATAAAATAAACTAAATAACGAACTTTGCTTAAAATATTAGTAAAATTTAACTAAGATAAGCGAAGTTTAGTTTAATAAAAGGATTATTTATGGAGAAAACTGCAAGACTTTACTGGTATTTTTTTATTTTAATAAAATCTCGAAAGAAGCCTTGATTAAATATAAAAATTTAGAATTTAACTCTGGCTGTTCACGGCAGAGGCGTTTATAGGCATTTATATATCTGATCAATTCAAAGTGATTCGAAAATTATTTACATTAGTTATAGTTATTTTTAATGTAAATATACGTAGTGGATATAAGGACAATATATGTTGTCAAGGCGCATATTGTCTTCGTTCACGTGTGACAAGTGACCGCAGCTCGCCTGCAACTCCAGATAAGTTAATTTGTTATCCTAGTTCTGACGATAATCCTTTATTTGTTAATACCTAATGTCTTTACGCGAATATTAAACCGGTGCATAATAACGAGTGAAGACCTAAACCTTAAATTGGACATCGGGAAAATTATCAGCTGTTACCAATTAATTATAATAAATAAGAATGCAATAAAGGTTAAATTTCGTAATCTACATGCACAACCATGGCCATGTCAGGTTTAAAAAAGAAAGGGTAACTCTTTGAATTGATGAATCTGATCATTCAGAAGATCATTCTGATCAATTCAAGAGTTTAACCATTATTTGGCAACTCAAATGACATTTGATAAGCAATTTGACAGCTGATTAGTTAATTTCTACGATGGTCACGGCCGGTTTCTGATACACTGATCATTGTAGATGTCAACTAATGAGCTGTCAAACAGCTTTTGAAATTTCATTTTAGTTGCCAAAAGGTGGGTTAAACTCTCAGAATGATCTTCTTAATGATCAGAATGATCAATTCAAAGAGTTTAACCATCCTTTTGGCAACTAAAATGTAATTTGAAAAGCCATTTAACAGCTGATTAGTTGACATCTGCGATGATCAGTGTTTCAGAAACTGGGCGTTAGTGTTTCAGAGACCCGGCGTAAGGCTGCGAACATGTTCTAAGGTAGTCTACTTCATGGGCCGTATATAGAATACTAGATGAGTGTTAAATAATAAAACAAAAATATACATAACAAATAGGTAACTGTTATTAAATTTTGTGCTTCATTCCATATATTATATATGGAAATTATAAACCAAAAATTAATTGAATAATATGCTGGTATATTTTATTGCATATATTCTTATAATAAATTATCGTTGTCCGTGTTCATTATGAATAAAACAAATGCCTGAATAATAATAAAATTAATCAGTTACGAATATCTACAATACTCTAAGACACACTTATAGTCGAAATGCTTCAACATCTTACCTTGAAGACGCAAAATATTCGAAAATTTGGTAAATGCGACAATAATTTTAAACTATGACAATTTACATAAAACAATTTAATACTTTAAGTTTAAACTGGCAAATACAAATTGCTACACTTTTTCCAAAGTTATTTTAGTTTCTTTTTACACAACAGAATTGACGGCGTAGAGATTCATTAAAATAATGTTTTAGTTTTATACCTTTATATAAATCTAACGACTAAAATAATTTGAAACGAATAAAAATATTAGTCATTTATAAAGTTAGTTAATTGATTGACATTGACGTTCAAAGGTTGGCTAAAATAAATATTAAGTATAATAAAATATCTATGGCAAACGCAGAAAAAGATTATTTGATAATTCTCACCTATGTCCAATAACTTTCGACTTATGTTCTATTTTATTATAATTATTATTTTTCATTAACTCCATACATTTAACATACCAGATTTATTTTATATTATTATTATTCTGACACGTTGTTACGACCAAAAGAAAAGAAAATAAAAATAGTGTGCTCTTTATGGTTTGGTTACGTTGTGAAAAATATATCGAGGTTAAGAAGTTTAAACATAATATGTATACAAATTGAAAAGAATATTATTTTACTTTTGTCTTTTATGAACCTGACCTTACGACGCATTGTGTTATTTTATATTGTTTGGTACCTACGTGGTCCAAAGTACAGTTTTGTTATAGAATAAAAAAATTATATATTTTCATTTTTTAATTGTATTAAACATAATAACTTTACAGCTATACTACAATCTTTAATTATGCCTACTTCGAAAGATACAAATCATTAAATTCGAAATAGTACGTACCAAAAATTAAGTATAAAAGAAAAAATAATTATGTTATTGTCTTAATTATTGTCTAGAGACTACGAATATTAAAAATTAGAAAAGGCTGTCTCCAAAATTGCTGAGACAAATTATTATTTCTTCAAATTATTTAAAGTTATTATTACTTTCGTTCGTTTCGTTTCTCTCGTATAGTTTGTGAAACCGGATTAATATTTAAGATATTATATTTTTTTTTTTTTTTTTTCACTATATTATTTTATATGTTTGCAATAATATGTTCCAATAGTAACAATCGTTTTGTAAAGTAATATAAATATACTTGGTTATTTAAAAAAAATCAAGTTTAATATTTATAATAATAAGTAATAGTAACAACTTATAAACCGTTAAAAAAGGAAAAAAATACATTTTTAAATATATATATATATTTATAAGAATTACGTAGGTGTAGGGTTTTTTTTTAAGTTGAATTGTATTTTAAAAATACTGTATTTCCAGTAAACGCAAATAAAACATGTTTTATTTCCATTCACAAGAAATGTGCATTTGATAACATAATGGTATGTGTCATTGTTTACCTCTCATGATATTAATAGTAAGCATAAACCTATGTATCTTTTTAATAATAAGAAAAGTAATAATCACATCTTTGATCTTAATATTTATTTCTTATTTTGTATACATTTAAATATAGCCATTAAAACCTTATAATAACTATTTAAAAAAGGTATTTGAAAGGCGATACAAATTTTGCCCTGATTATATATTATAAATTAAAAGAACCTAAAAATACGTTTTTTTGTGTGCTTTTTATTTTTTTTCAAAGCCCTATCTAACAAATACACGTACAGATTTAATTCATATTATTACCGACCGCAAGCATCTATTAATAAATACTAAAACAGATTCAACAACAGTGCAAAGCCACACTCCTTAACATAAAAATATGTAATATAAGTATCGTGTAATATAATATAAATTACATTAATTATATATTAATAATATGACGCTTAAAACGATAGCAATTATTAGATATTTTAAGCACAAATGCATTCTTAGGGAAATGTGCAAAACACTGTTAATAAATGTAACTTATTAGCGGTGTGTCCGACTTACAGTTTACAAAATTCGTAAAATATCGTTGAAATTTAAATATTTCATGATAAACTAGGCCTTAAGTGTCAGTCTTTAACCAACACTAGATTCGACGAAAGTAAAACCGAAGATTTGTATAACGAAACGTAATATTTACAAAAGAATGATAAACATTAATCCCCTTTGTCATTAACAGTTCATTTAAATCGCTACAACTATGTTACATTTACAATTGTATTTTAAATATGAGGTACATACAATATAAGAACTAGAATAAATTACTTTTTGGATATATTATAAACATTATACAACAATTTTATGAGGCGTAGTAATAAGGACGAGTATGCTAGGAAGTGTAGAAAGCGATGGAAGTTTGAAAATTATATTAAATACAACAGTCCTCATAAAAGTGTAAATAATGCAATTTAACAACTTAAACACATAAAATTTGAAACATTGAGAAAACACAGGATGATATGCCAATGTACTTTATATACATTTGTACACAAATATGAAGAGCGGTTACTTATGAAAATAAGAGATAGTTGTTAAATTTAGTTCCATTACATCATCAAATACGCCCAAACGATACCAACGCCGTCTAACCATCAATAACAAAAACATTCTAAGTATCAACGAATATTTATACAAAAAATAATAACATTGGTTACATTATGGATATGAGTGATTATAACGATATTACAAGCTAACCACAGTGAGAACAATAGTTTATGAAATTTCTCTATCTATCTAAAATAAAGGGAGCTTCACACCAAATCGGGGGATGATCAACTTCAAATATACGTACCTACGAAGGAGTACTAACAAGTCAATTAATATGTACCGTCTTCGCTCGGCTCCTGGTACTCTTGAGCTGGCGGCTGCACCGGCTCCGCTTGGTAGAAGGCCCCGGAGACGAAAGGGTTATTGGGGACGTGCTGTTGGGGCGCGGGGGGGCGGGGCGGCGGTGCAGCGATGGCGCCATACGCTGGAGCCTCTGTGTTCTTCAGAGGCGCAGATGGCTGCTCCGTCTAAATAATGATGATACCCATTTGACGCCTATTCTAATACTGAATGTGCCAATCGAAATAAATAAGAAAGGGATAGAGATGATGGATTAAAAGACGGCAATCCTTAGGCGGCTATTGTTCGGCGATTATAAGCAATTTGCCTAACATCAACATACAAGTTTGGCACAAGGTACAAGTAACAAGGCGTAAATTATTTGAATTTAATAAAAAAATTGAGACATGGAGAAGAAATAATAAATAAAATGTCATTTCCTAGGCAAACACAATCAAGACTTAAATTTATGTCTTACACTTCCATCCAGCAATTCTAATCCTAATACTTACGAATGTAGTCTCGTGATCCAAAGATTTCATAGGGCTCTCGTAGGCTGGAGTTGGTTCGGCCCAGGGCTGCAGCTCGCCGGAGGCAAATATCGCGTAGATCGTGATGCCGATGAAGTGGACCGTCGCGCCCATAAGGAAGACCGCACGCCATTCCGTTATTGCTTTTTCCAGTTTTTCCTGTCAAAAGGATGTCGGATATTTTAGTTAGATGCTACTCGTCATTACGCTTTTCTAATACTGTATCCTTGCTGAGTTTTATTACATTTTGGCTCACTAAACTGTGCTACTATTTTAACACCTTCAAATACTAAAAAAATGTCGCTGTCATCAAGAATTTGAATTATCGAAAGACCATTCTAAAATAAACTAGCGTATATGATCTTTCTTAACAACATTTAAGTCACTAACTACAGCCTTATATTTAGTACTGTAACTCGTAAGGCTAATTCTATCAACCTTTTGTAAACATAGCCAATAATAATGTCTGCACTCCTCGCGCGTTAACAAACGAAATTTCCAATACGATTCTCATTTACACCCACCCCGAACGGGTGGTCTTGGCTCCGGCGAAGTTTCGTTCCGGTTCGAAAGTGTAACGATAATAAAGTGCTCAACGCGAAATACACTCGTTGTGATGCATCGTCGCGCACCCACAAAGCGAAGCATTTGGCATTCAGAGCGCGCGCACGGCGTAGCTCGATTTCCTTTTTTAAATTAGCCACGGCCGAGTGTCCTTTTTGTTTCGCGCGCCCCGGCGAGAGTCTACCGCGTCTTGGGGTGCGTCACTCACAGTTTTCAATTGAACGCACGAGTGCAAATCGAAGATGAACTTCGCTGATTTTCATATATTTCAAATTACTTTTATGAAGGCAGTTTGCGCTAGAGCGTGGCAGTCGAGGATTCGCGCTGCATTACATTGCGAGCAATAAGCGACAGACAGAGAAATAAAATCCATTGTACTTAAGCATTAAGGTGTGACCGAGAATTCAAAATTTTCATTTATAAATTATATAATAAAAATAAAATACGGTGTTTGTTCATTTTTCGCCTCCTATATAAAAAGTAGTGTCTACAAAACTGTTATTTAACTTACCTTCTCACGAGTCATATTGTCTATAACGATTGGAACAACAAAACCAGCAATGGTGCCAATGCCGTTAGACAGACCCATCAAGATCGAAGCATATCTTGGAGCGATATCCAAATGATTGACATTGTATCCAGAAATAGCGAATCCACTGCATGCTACGCCAAGGGTCAGCTCTATAGTTGCCACGTACTGCAAAAAGGTGAGATATTTATTGCCAGGGGGTCGACCCAAGATAATTTTACATATTTTTCAGTGCACCCTTACTTTGTTATCAGCATAGGCCACCAGAACGAAGAAAAACGCTTCCAAACCGAATCCACCACAATTGAAAAGCTTGCGGACGTTGGTGGTTGTCATAATGTTGTTTTTACGTAAGTAATCGGCCATCATGCCTCCAATTGGTACTAGAGATGTCATAATAAGATGCGGTATTGCGCCGACAAAACCAGACTGCAAAGATCATCAAATAAATAATTAAGACATATAGTAACCGATCTTTTAAAGTTTTTTACAGTAATAATAATTGCATGTAATTTATTACCTCAGTAATTTGCATATTGAATCTCGTGTTAAAATATGCAGATTGGAAGATGACGAGCAAACAGAAGTTCCATGTCCTACAGAAGTTTGCTACAATAATGGCGTAAACCTGGAAATTATCGAATAGTTAGTTACTGTGATCTCCCAAAATTCTCTCCCTCTCCTTAAAATATTGTTAATACAGTAACGGAGCTAACCGGTGGCGATGTGGCAAAAGCCTTCCAAGGGGTGTTCCAAAATCCAGGCATAGCGGCTTGTGCAGCGGTACCCAACGATTGCTCGATATAGGTCAACTCCTTGCCGGTTATATGTGGATGCTTACTAGGCTTCTCGAATACCAACCACAGCCATAAGAAATACCTTAAATAAGTAAGAAAAACTTTATAAAATCAAATGTCTATTAAATTAAAATAGAAGAGAATTTTGCTTACCAGAGGACTCCACAAACTCCGTAGAAGTAAAATGGTGTTTGCCAAGATATATAGTCGGTGAGGAGTCCGGACAGTGGCATACCAATTACAATCCCGGCATAGGTCCCGCAAAAGGCAAGCGTAGCCAGTCTAGAACGTTCTAAAGGAGGCGCCCAACTCCTCCAGATACCGTGACAAGATGGATATGTAACACCCTAAAATTATTGAAGTAGTAGATAAGAGGTTGCATCAATTAATAAAAGTTGAGAAATAATTTAAGATTTTATACGCATTGAATCTAAACATGACATTTTTAGAATTGTTTTCTTAAGTAGTATAGATGTATCACAGTCAGTGTGATTTAATAGGATAGCGTAGCCATTGATGATTCCGCTAAGCTAGGGGACAAGGAGCCGAATAAATACGTAACCATAGCGACCGAGGGCTCCGTAATCCTGAAGAGGCTTTGTACCTTGAGAAGCGATTTCGGTCGCGCTCAAGTACAACTGTGATTGCGATCAATGTGTAATTGGAAACTGAGATCAGAGAAAATCGTCCATGCTTAAAAATGCTGAATTTAAATATTTTACATTAACGACCAAATGGTCGTTAATGTAAATGTAATTATTAAATAATAATGAACAATATTTACAGTAACAACACAAGGTACATCCGCGTTCCGGGGCGATTCTCACCGCTCCCAGCCACCGATTAGCTAATTGCACAGTCGACGGCCATCGGGGTTTCGGTCCGAACCGCGACCTCGATGGCCCATAGATGACACACCATAGTTAAACGCACGCATGAGCACATGCGTGGCCCTACCCACAGCGGAGGGCCCAAAACCGTGGGTTCTGACTAGCCCACCGGTTCTTCGTCAGATGAAGCTTTAATAGTCTCGGGACTGAAAGCACAAACATCAGTTAATACAAGATACAAGATACAAGTACATTCATGACTACATATGATATTAATGTAGTCTACATATTACATGTCACGGATTACATCATATGGAGAGTAAGACGGTACACATTGTTTAGTTTAAGGACTGTGCTCTAATCCTTTGTCTAAAAAAGGCCTTTGCCCAGCAGTGAAATATGTATAGTTTATTATTGACTAATTTATCAAAATAATGAACAAATGAAAAGTTATTACCTCTCAACCACAATAATTCATTATGCAATTCTAAATATTCCAAAATGCGAATGTTTGTTCAAGCTTTTAGTCATTTGCATGTAATAGAGATGCTTGAACACAGTGAATTAAGCTAGCTTTAAGCCCCAAAAGAAGGGGAGAAGTAAAATTGACGAGTCGAACATTTGAAAGGGATCATAGTATAAAATTTCGAGCGTCAGTAATAAGCCCGATCATGCAAGGTCACGTCCTGAATGTCGAATGTTTCAAATTTTAACATGTGACGCGTGTATGTACATGTCACGACGCACCCCCGAAAACTAATGACACAGAATGCTTCAATTCTAAATATAAATATATTTCTCTGCTATATACTGCTCTGTACCATCACTTGTGTCATAAATAAATATGATTTTGTAATAATTTACTCTACCAAAAACTCCAATGCCGTGCACTTTTCAATCTCCGTGTCTTTGAGCTTATTGAAAATTACATGTTTGTAAAGTTTCCCCAATCACTGTCCCATATTTGTGCGCGATGTACAGACGTTATAATTGCTGCGTACTCATTTAGTTGCTCGGTTAAAAGTTGCAACGAAGATGGTTATCACTTCGACCCGTACTTACCTCAACAAAGCCCTGAGCTATTTTCAGCATTACCACCGCTGCGGGTCCTATGGACATAGCGCCAGGGATCGCCATGTTGAAAATGGATGAAGCCACTATAGCAGCACCGAAAATTCTGTTTGCTGGGTACATGGAGGCTAGGAAGCCACCTGGAACTTGAGTTATGAGATATCCAGCAAAATAAGACGAGTCTATAGACGATTCCACGTTTACGGTCCAGTTGAACGGGGTGTCCTCCTTCACTCCCACAGAGGTCTGCAAAATTTTTTACATTAAGTAATACAAAACAAAACTATTGAGCAATCTTAACTACGGTAGGGCCTCGCAATAGTATTCGCTGTTGCACGAATGGGCAGGTCCATCCGGGTATGTACCACGACCTCACAGCAGATTGGCTTAAATTAATATAGTTTCACTTCTAAGTTTCATCTAGAGAGTGAGGTTGCCGGGGTCAACTGTATTAAAAGGTGGCAACACATTTACTCTACGGATGTTGTAAATGGCAATTTGTGATGGAACTCATTTAATATTAGGTGAATCGCCAGCTCGTTTTCCACCTACTGACATAAAAAATCGTCAGCGTGAAGTGGAAGTTTCTAGTGAGGACAATGGGTTTTAAGGAAATTTGTTCGTTCATAATGATAATAACTTATAAAAGTATGGCGGTCTACTCCTTGGAGCAGTCGACCTATGTTGTGGTTGCAATCATGGTCGTATTCATTACGAGACGGATAAATTCATGGACAGTCACTTTTGACATTTTTCCCACATACAAAACCTCACTTACCCAAAACCTAACACGCTTTGTGCATAACGATGTCGGTAAATAATTGACATAATGTTATCGCTAATACTTACGTTGTGCTTCTCTGTCATCTTGAGCTTGGCCATACTCATATTGCAACGCATACCGAACATTATGCTGAAGCCAAAGCAGGCGAGCAAGGCAACCGTATAACGCGTGCTCAGGCAGGGGCACTCCGCGCGAACGTACTTATCTAATAAATGACAAAAATTCGACCCACTTGGATCATGATATTTTCTAAACAACAAAAACTGCAAGACTGTCTTTTACCGCTTACGGTACAATATAAAATAATAATAAAAATAATGGCATAAAATTTTAGGTGATGGTCAATATACCTAAAGAAAGGTATTTAAGAATAGAATGAAGAACTTAATTTTCATCAAAAAGTTTCTTTGGATACCAGCAGGTAAAATTTTTATCTTCGATTAATTTATGATTTATGTTTTTTTTTTCGTTCGTAATTTGTGTTACTTCAGTTTCATTGTTTTATCTTAGTCTGTAAATAAATCGTTGTCGTGTTTATACTACTTATCTTAGTTTAAAAGTTTAAGTTTTCTTTAAAATATGTAGAAAAATTAAAATATGTAGAAAAAGTGCGAAAAGACTTTTCTGTTTAACGCATTTTTGTACTTTTGATAAATTTAACTAGCATTATAACTGTGTGTTAATGATATCCACACCTATAATGGGCATAAATATCCGAACTATAGTTATTAACATTACGTTTTTAAATTATGTAACTATGTATGTTGTTAGTCCATCTTTTCAAATAAATAAATTAAAAATATTATGTGAATGAGATGTGTGATATGGCGTTTACCTATTGGACGTGGCGGTGGCCTCTCCGGGGACGGTGGAGTTTCAAGATCCTCGCCATCGTACATTTGATCGTAGCCCTTCTGTTCCACGTGGAAGTTCTCATGAGCATTTCTGCAACAAAATAAAAATATATCATCACAATCCTAATTACATTTTTTATCACAACTAGGCTTTCGGTTCGATTACTATCACACGGGATGGTAAGTAATTACGTAGTTAGTAATTGTTGCAAAAGTGTTTAGGGAACACGTGTTATTGTTATGATAATAAGGTACTGCATTACTACTACATTAGTAACTTAAATTTGTTAGTAACTACTGTAGTGAGCCAACATTGATTTGAAAATTAAGTTAAGCACAGTTACGCTTCAATGCAGGTCGTCAATTAATTTCTTCTAATCTAAAAGTGGGGTTTTTAAAAAGAAGTACGTAGTAACGAAGAATGTACTCAATTTAAAATCTGTATAGTCACAGTGTTTAATTTACATATTATAATTTTCAACAATCTGTTCATCATCTGCAGAACCACAAAGTACTTCGATAACATAACACAACGAAAAGCTTAAATTCGTTTATGATAATTTAACTTTTCAATTACGTATTCCTCTCAAAAATGTTTAAAAACCTTTGCGACTGATGTACGCATTCGCTGAACTTAAAATAACCATTGCAAGGATATATTTTACAAGTGGATACTCTGCAATATCACAGTTTCACAGGAGAGGTTGTTCGCGACGGGAACGATATTTTACTTCTATTTTCTCGATAATTAAAACGATCGACAGGAGCGAATTCTGTTGGAGAAAGTGTGATTAAAATTCACCGGGCTAGCTAATAGCTCCTACATGAAGGATCGCACCCGGGCGACGTGTGAAAGAAATGAGTATTTGTCATCCATTTATCGGTAAAAATAATGAACAAGTACAACATAGCAACAATAAATGCACTTCGAACTCATACTTTTTTGTTTCAATGAATATTTGGTGCCTTGTAGTTGAGAGGATATGAATTTGGATATATCATACAAATTTTTATATATAAACTAGTACACCATATGCATGTTGGATTAACCTTTTTGCCCTCCCTGATAGCGGCCTATTTGGAAGTTATACTTTAATTTTTACAGTCTTATTCTATTCACTTTTTTTGGAAACAGACAATGAAGAACCATTTGACTGCACTGAGATTTGTATAAATAACATCAGGTTCATATTTAAAGACCAGGTCACTAGATGTTAATATGTCCATTGCGTAGAAACGGAAAAAAATTAAATACAATTGAAATAAAAAAATATCATGGTGAAGTGACTTAAAGGTATAAGTTAAATTAATACCTCCTTAAACTAATAATTTCAGCAGCTCTTTTTTCAGTTTATCATGCTCGTTTACCTTGCTTTTTAAGACTTTACAATAATATGTAAAACGATATCTTTTACAACGTAAATGGAAACATGTAACAACATGTATCCGTGTTACGTAACCCCATCCAAACTTCATCTGGCTCTCATAAAAGATGAGAAACGAAAAAGCTCGTTTAGCATGCCGCCTCCGCGTCATGAAATCAAGGTTACTGGCGCGTGAATTCATTTTTCCGCTGACAAAAGTAATAAATGTGGCTATCTGTCGCTCCCCCCGTTTGAGCGCTGGTAATGAATCGTTGCATAAAAGGCATAACCAAGTGGAAGCGACGCGCGACGGGGGCGCCCCCCTAGCTGCCTCCTCGTGCTAATGCGTTTAGATCTGGCTGGACGTACACGACGCGTCAACAGTCATATCGGCGAGGGGATCCCTGCGCTAATTACGTCGATACCCACACGCTAAGTGTAGTACACCAACTACGCAGTATTGATACAGGATTTTGCAAGTAACAACCATATTGGTTTCACCTTACCGATTCGGTAAGTCGCCATTCATCACAGGGAGTTCTTCATTAGAGTTTCGATATAACAGTAGATGAACGAATCCAAAATATTTTATTTATTATATCATATATGGTTAACACCCTGATATATTTAAAATATAATTAATATTATAAGAACAAAAAGTAAATAACAAGGGTGCAAACAAATTTATCTCGTACACAAATTTAGTCGGAGGACAAATTTCTGGCAGTTGGTACTTCGTTGCAGCAAATCCGGTACCGCCTTTGAAGTTTAGTTGGCTTACTGTCAGGCACAGCACTTTCCATTGAACAGCGCTAGAAGAGACAATAAATCCTAAATATCAGCCTGCATAGTTGATATTTAGTATTTATTATACTTATATTGTACAGTGTTATTACAGTAACAATCTTACAATACTGCTTTACAATGAATTAAGTAAGTATTACACCATACAACGTTTTGTTATACTTGCGTAATCGTTGCAAAACAGTATTATAATGATTTTCTGTATTTACTGATATAATAATCATTGAGAAATGAAAATATTTTATGGATTTTATAGTTTTAAAAACCGGTTATTTTGGACATTTCTTACTAGTTGCAGTTTTAGGTCTAAGGACAAGCAGTAATACAAAAATATTGTGTGATTTTTCTTGACTCGACTAACTAAAATGCTGATTCAAAATTATCATTCTTATAATTAGCTAGGAATATGCTATTAATAAATTAAATTGAACGTGAACCGAATTTACATTCAAATGCTAATGCACGAACTTCTACGTGTTACTTTTGTACTGAATTACGAATCCCTACTATATTAATAGTATTATAAATTTGAATGTAAGTCTGTTAATTACGCTGTCACGCCAAAACTACTCAACCGATTATCATGAAAATGTGTACACATAATTCTTAGAGGTATTAAAAAGGGCATAGGATTCTTTTTATTAAAAATAATTTATTATATTTAACTAGCTGACTACGGAATTTTTGAATCTGAACACATAGAAAAAGAATTCGGAACCCACGCATTAAATATTTAACAGGTAGGAACAGTTTGTATGGGAAAATAAAATTGTTGCTATTTCGGTTTTCCATAAAATGTTTCTATAATTTCTCATCGTCAACCTCCTCTGGACTCCCACAAATATTTCAAAACCTAAGTGAGCCAAATCGGTCCAGCAGTTCTCGAGTTTAAGCGAGACTAACGAACAGCAATTCATTTTTATATATATATATATATAGCTAAATATATGTATTTAAAAAATGTTAAGTGTTTCAAAGCGAGCTTCGGTCACGACCGAAAAGCTAGTATATATAAACCAACGATACAATTTTATCTGTTTCACGCGAATGAAACCGTTCCCCTAGCTCGGTACGATCGTTTTATTGTACCGCTAATGCACCCCACGCACGACGCCTGTAATTATGTGATGTAACTTAAAATGGCGTAATTACTGTTTTGTCACAGTATATCTACACCCCATAATGTATTCCATAATTACGTTCATCGTTTCCATTCTATAAAATGCCTTACGTAGATCAATGCAGGCAAAAAGGTGCTCAATAAAACCATATTTTTTAGTCACTGGGCAAGACAAGCTCGAGCTTTAACTGTGTTAGGGCCACTGAATAATCTTCGCTGTTGCACGAATGGGCAGACCAGCGTAGTGTGTTATATTTCTGCGTGAGTGAGGTAGCCGGGGCCCACTTTGTTATAATGTAATTGCATCTGCAACCTACGGGTATTGCAAATGTCAATGGGCGGCGGTTACCACTGAGCATCAGGCGAACCGTCAGCTCGCTCTCGCAGCTTACGACCTTCTCAGATAAAAAAGCTATACTTCTGTAAGTATAAAAACAAATACAGAGCAAGCCAAATAAAATCGGCTAAAGTGTCCGCACAAACACTTTCGTAGTGTCTACAACTTCGAGAAACAAAACTTCTATTAAGTACAACAAAAACATATTTCAATTATTACTCATAAATGTACTTATTGAAATATGTTTAGGCTATACTCGTATAGTTAAAATTAAAAGTGCTCATAGAATTTAAAAAAGCCACTGAGAACACTGAGACAAGCTACCGTCACTCGCTACAAATGAAGTAGTTAAAAAAATTTCGCGGGCGAATTGTACAATTTTCCTAGGTAAATAATAATAAGACCATAATTCTGTATGTATTACTTCGACCCTGTATTCAGGTGCTCAAAGATCATATCATCAATAAAATATAACTAAAACTACCCATGTGTAATACATACACAGCTTATATTATGTTTTGTATTATGTTTATAATATCAGAATTTTTAAATGATTTTGTAAGCGTTTGATTTGTTTTAACGGCGATTAAAATAAATCGAGATCAATCCCAGTCTCCGTGTTGTTGAGACAACACTCTAATTAAACTATCTGAAGTGTGAAAAATGATGTGGATAAAACAAAACAAACTCTGCAAGCCAAATTGTCAAGTTAAAGGTATTCTACAAGTTAAAGACAATCAGATTGTCATAGATAAGGTAGTGAACCTATTACATGTGCCATAGGGTGTGCGTTCGGTCCCCAATACAGGAAAAATATTTATATGTGAAAAATGTGTTTTTCCAGTGTCTAGATATTTATGAGTTTGAACTGTTCATCTACTTAAAAAAGAAAAGTAGATTTAAATATCTACCATACATAGAAACCATACTCCAAGCTTTGCTATGTTTGCGAAGAGATAGAAAAGAATGCTGTGTATTTTGAAAGATTTATTCGTTCATTAAAAAAAACACTTGATTAAAAACACGGAGATGCGACCGCGTTAAACGTTTAATTTCATGTCGTACGATTTCCTATGCAAGTTTCCACGAGTTCCTGAAGACAGGAGTCCTGTATCAGACGTGAAGAGCGGGGTGCGCTCTCGGGGGTGTATTGCGTAGATCACAATATGCACTCCAACATTCCCCACTATGGATACCTATAGTGCCCAGGGAGGAACGCTAGGCCTTCTTAATTAATTAATTTACGCCCGACAAATGAGTGGGTCTTTATTAAAACCGCCCATTGTGCTCCACGTCTGTTTCTTGACAGAGTTTTACATTTGCTCCCTAGTGAATTCAATACATTTTCATCATCTTCGTCAAGTTTTTACGGCTAGAAATAAACAACTCTCATAGTTATATAAAAAAGAGTTTTAGTTATTATTTAAACTATTAAAAATTCGAAAGTTTTGCATGAAATTTTTCTT